TTTTACACCCACCACAAATTGAGCCAAAAATGAGTAGAATGAACCTTAGCGATTTCTTATGGGATTTTACATGGAAAAATACGCCGTACTCTCACAACCCTTTTACTCATCAAGTTTATATAAGTTTTTGTCAGACCATGCTAATGGTAAAACATTTGTCATCATGAGTGATACTTGCGGTGGTCAAAACCGGAATATCTTTTTAGCAGCAACTCTTCTGTATTGTATTGGATATTCCCGAAATTGAACATAGTTATTTTGAACCAGGACATTCAATGATGGAATGCGATTCGGTCCAAGCCCATATTGAGCAATCAACCAAAAGCTTAAATATATATATCATCCTTCTGGATAGTATGCAGCTGTCGGAATAGCATCAAAATAATCCAAATACAATGTAATAAAGATGAATCAAGCTATGTTTTTTGATGCTGCAATTTAAAAAAAAAAAGAAATTTTTATAAATAAACAAAGCAAGTCTATTGCCTAACGTAAACTTAGTATAAAAAAAATTACAGTTTTTCTATGAAGAGCTAACTAGTGGTATACACACGGTGACGCTGATTCAGACAACGAAGAAACATTGATTACTATTGTGCGTAATTAATTTTAATCTTAGTATATATTTAAATGTATTTTTTTTAGTTGTTTGTATTTTTATAAATAAATAACAGAGTCTATTGCTAACGTAACTTACTATAAAAAAAAAATCAAAAATTACATTAATAACATATAAACTAGTCTCAAAATTAACACAAAAAAACCTTTTTTTTTTGTATATACAAATATATTATTCAAGACATCTATTTCGTTTACAGTTTTGTGTGATCGTCAAAAATGTGATGACAATAATTATTGGTAGCGTAATACCTTTATGAATAATTGGAAATCAACACGTAATATAATCCTGGCAAAACAGAAAACTAGATAAGGTGTTTAGATCGATATTGCTCGCATAATCAATAAAATCGATGATAACGTTTAGAGTTAGTTAGTAAGAAGGGACAAAATAAATACCAATTTTATATGATAGGCCGTTACCTAAGACATTAACAGTTATAGCTAAAGGTAGCCAAGACTAATTGTGTAACCATCCGGGTATAACATATAGCGTTCTGGGGCTGTCATTATCAAGACCAATATTGTTCCATGTTACTTGTCATTCCACCGTTAACCTTAAGAAACATTATAGCTATTATAAAAGTGGATTATATATAAATACTGAATAAGGATATGATAATGATCAAAGGCATTATATAAACAATATTAACAAAACTATGGACAAATATCCAACTAAGGAGAAAGGAAGTGTATAAAACAATATTTTCCGGATTTGTGTATCGTTAATTTAGCTGTGGTTAATTTGGAGTTTACAGTATCGGATATTAAAACGTAAATTGGAAAGAAGCTCAAAATAAGTTAAAATACTAGAACAGGCATAGCACCCGTGCAATCAAGGGTCTCAACCTCGGACCATTAAATCCTCCTTGGAATCCAATAAAGACCTATGCTGGGAAAACTGATGTACGCCATTACAAAATTTATGCTCAGGACAGCATATACCTCATATTTGGAAAAACCACAAATTTAATTTATTTGTTTTGGCCAGCATAAGCAATTTGGCCTGAAAACCGATATCATCGATTTAGTGTCCTGCGGTGAGCAGTTATTGAAGCATTGTTTTCCATGAACATGAATATAATTTCCTGTCTCCCACAAGAACATGTTATAGAATGTTTGCTGGAGTTTTTCGAATGTTATGGTGATGACAACGCCAAAATACGCTGAGCTACTGGAATGTCAACCTTCAACTCATAACATCCGGCCACTGCTTTCCTGTGCTGTAGTTCTTTCTAAGTCACTTTCAACAATTTGGTCATCAACCGTTATATTAGTTTGAGCGAAATACAATCACTACGTCCATTGTATATGTGAAGAATCCAAATCTAAAACTTTCGGGTAAAATAATAAATAATGTAATCATTGTGTCAATACCTATGACGTATCTTCATTTAATCGGATGAAACATAAGGGTGTTTCATCCCTGATTGACGTGCCTTCGATACGGCAAAAATAGTGGACTTGTCTGCGAAAATAGAATAAAATTGATCCCCTAATTGAATGAAGTACATAGTTAATGTCAAAATATATAAATTTCTTTATTTAAACTTAAATAAATATAGTAAAGTCTACATAAAAAAAATGCCCCCCGTAAAAACCCCTAAGATAAATTAAGAGAATCTTTTGACAAGAGAAAATAACAAAAAATATGTGAACAAGAAACACTACTACCCCTTTAGAAAATTATACTTAAAGAAACATGACCACAAGAGTGGAATTCTAAGTTTACAATATTGCATGATGTCCATTCGAGGGAACATGAGTTGAAGGTGTGATATTTTCAGTGGAGTTTTATTCAAGAATTTTAAAAATATAGAACAAAGGCTAATTGGTGTCAAAATATATAATTCTTATAAGTAAAAATGTTTTCCTACCTTTTTTGTGCGCTTTCCATAGAAACTACGGGCCGCTTATTTCCAGGTTGCAATTTACCGGTAGGCAATCGCGGACAAAGGTGATTAAAGATATTCTTAAAGCAAACTTTGTACTTGCAAAAATAAATATTGGTAGATGGCGTAAGGAGTTACTTTGATTAGAGTCCAACTTGAAAGGGATTTTAATAGGCATGTGCCCAAGATTTGATTAGAAGTAAAGGATATTGTTCTGGTGAGATAAACAAAATCTAGTCCACTGCAAGTGGTACTCAATGATGAGATGAGGCAATGCGAATACCCCAAATGAGAATTGTTAATACCGTAGAATAGAAGAACAAGAGGTTGTCACGTCGTTCAATATAGGATTAAGATACTGTAAGGTAGTAAGTATCATTGATAGAAATATCCTTGGAAGTTTTGTATAGGCTCTAAGATAGAAATGAGTTGGATGTCTTAAGTGCAAATTGAAAAGTTACGAAATAGATAAGAAGCTGAAACGGATGCTCAATACTATATATGGATCTAATAAGATAATATGGCGAACGTGACATATCCAGATATTATAGCGAACAAATGAAAAATAAGGGTGTAGAAATGAAGAGAGGAACTACTACAAACTAATTTTTATGCAAGCTTAAGACAGGCAAAAATTTGTCATATTGATAGCCATTCTTAATCGAGAAGACAGGAAGATAAGGAGTATGATAAGGAAAAGAGATAGAAGACGAAGAAAGGGACTGTAAAGCAATTTGACCAATAAAGATTTATACAGACTAAATATAACCAAAAAACAACACAAACTCACTTATATGAAAAATAAATGGAAATATGACCAAAATAACTGGAAAATGGATTACAAAAAATTAAAATATTACAACGTGAGAAGTAAAATAACAAAAGAAGTAATCCTAGTTAGATTAAAAAAAAGGATACACTTTCCATACAATAAAAAAAGGATAAGCCGAAGTATCTTGGTAATCAATTTAGATATACTTAAATATAGGTTTATAACAGTTTGAAATAATCAAAGCCAACTTCTTCTTCTTTCTTCTTGTAGTGCCTATCCGTTTCGGACGTTGGCGACCATCATAGCAATCTGCACTTTGCACACTGCTGCTCTAGCTGCTAGCCAGAAAATCCTTCGCCTTCCTGGTCCCTGTTTTCCTTATACTTTTCCCTGCAAGATTAGTTTGCAGCAGTCCAATATCTTTCGCTGTTTCCTCATGTGTGACCGACGTATCGATTTTGGCTGTTTTTATTGTGGTTAACAGCTCTTTTTCTTTTTTCATTCTCAACAGAACACCCTAATTAGTAAACGTGGCCGGTATATGATATCTTCAGGATGCGACGATAAAGCCAAATTCAAAACCTCAATTTTTTTGCAGGTGGCGTCTGTGAGAGTCCATGACTCACTCCGTACAACAGTAGTAGAAGATGTAACATCGTAGTAACCTGATTTTTATGTGCATTGATAAATCATGACATTTGAATAACTTAGCCATTTTTTGAAATGCAGATCTTGCTTTCTCTATTCTACATTTGATTTCTATGGAATAGTCCCAATTTTCATTGAGATTCGTACCAAGTAGGTGTATTGTTTTTACTCTTTCTATTTGTTGACCGTTTACACTGATTTGTCCAAATTGCTGTTCCTTCTTAGAGATCATCATGCATTTTGTTTTCTAGTGTTTAGTGAAAGTCCGTAGTCTCTGACTGACCTCTGTGATTCTGTTCATTAACTCCTGGAGGCTTTCAGAACTGTCAGCGAATACTACCGTGTCGTCCGCGTATCTATATGTTAATTGATAGATTCTCCGTTGATTCGAATTCCGGCTCAACATCACCCACTGCTTCTGAAAGATTTCCTCAGAGTATATGTTAAACAGCAGTGGTGATAGTATACATTCCTGACAGACGCCACGTTTGATTTTTGATATCGTCGGATTCTCCTGCCTCTGTCCGGATAGATGATGTTTGCACTGCATTCCGAAAACCAAACTGTGTACGGCTGATTTTTTCTTCGCACAGTATATCCGTATATTCGGAAATCACTGCAGGATACGGATTTTGTTTTCTTTGGCAAAGCAATAAAGGTCGACTTCCGCTATGTTCTTGGTATTACTCCGCCTAAATATATGTCATTAAATACTATTTGTAGGTGTTGAATACCGTCGGTGTTAAATGGTTTTATGAGCTCAGCATATGCATTGTCAGGTCCCAGGAACTTTGCCATCTTTTAGTTGTAATATGGCTTTTTGCACTTCATCTGATGTGATTGGTAAGTGGTCATCACATATGTAGGATAGCCAACTTAGAAATAAAGAAACATTATTAGAAAGTGCTTAAAGAATGTAAGATAATAGGGTCACCTTCGAATTATGGGAGAATGCACACTTACTGTGATATATAAAAACAAATTGGCTTATGTGATTACCAACTACTGGTATTGAATAGACAGACTTAGAAGAATCAATAATATAAAAAACAATGTAAAACAAAGGCAAGTACCTGCTGTACAATATATTGAAAATGTCTTAACTTGGACAATGCTACCAAGTTCAACCAAGTTGAATCGGTAATCCATTTAGCTGGTTTCGCTGGACAAGCATTCAGATCCAACGCAGCTCCGCCTTTGATGAAATTTTGGAATTCTTCGTGGGTAATTGTCTCTCTTTCTAGATCTATTCTTAGACACATAAGCAGGACGAACATATATTTGTGTTCTTCGTATAGGTCCTCTGCTTTTATATTTAAATATTTCATAGGTTAGGTAGTCTATGATGTTAACGATACGTCTAAAAGTTTAGAAATGTGTTAAACTAATTAGAAACATTAAAAATCGTAATACTTCACATTTGGCATGTAGTTTTTCTAATGTACTGTGAAACGCAGTAAAAATGGTTAGCACTTTACCTGGATATTATGGGTGACTTTTCTGATCTGTACATTGATAAATCAAATCTTTCTAAAAATTGTACTAAAGAGGTTTGGTACATATAATTCACCATAGACATAGAGACTACCAGGAAATATAGTACGCTTCCTCGAGCTGCTATTGGTCTAAACTCTTCGCTACAAAATAAAAATAAATTTTTAGATCACTGTCATTATTATCACAAGAGACGGAAGGAATTGAAGCCAATGTTCAAAATGACCGGGTACTTATTAAAATAACAGTATTATTCTCACAGAAAAAAGATATCACCCAGTAATACTGATTTTATAACAACAATTTTTTGTATTTATGTATCTTACTGTTGAGTAAGTAAGTTATCAAAGTATTGAAAAGATCCAACTATTGGAAATAATATGCAAAATTAATATCCGATTGAGCCTCCACGATGTCTTCTGTACTCAGAAATATACCTGGAGTAACTTCTTAGAAGATTATTGATTTCCTCTTAAGATATATTACTCCAGCTACTTGTACCTTGTTGTATATTGCCGGTAGAATTTGCAGAGATTGAAATATAGTAACCTTCTTCTTAAAATATCCCAGAATGCTGAACGAATGAAAGATCGGGAGATTCAGGGGGCCAAGGTAACAATTAATTTAATTGTAATCATGAATGTGTTGCTTGTGTGAGTTTATTTCAAATAGGTAAAAGAAATAATAAATAAAACTTACTCACTTGTGAGTAAGTCTTATTTATTATTTCTTTTACCAATTTGATTTAATTGTCTTTAAAATCATTTTCATGACCATCAATATCATGATCATCATCAACCTGTACGCATCCATTGCTGAACATAGATCACCTAAGTCCATTTCATCTGTCTCCGTCTTGTTTTATGTAATAAGGCCCAGGTATTCCACTTTACAACGTTTAATGGTCATACAACTTTGTCTATCTAGGAAAATAAACATATCGAACATATTAAATCAACCCTTTACAGAGTATTTTACGATGACCAAATGCCAAAATTGTAGGTATACATACAACTATCACCTACTGACTTTTTTAGTCAGTAAAGTCCAACGATATCACAAAACAACTTAACGATTAGTTGAAAAACTATATTGTTTTTTCCTTTTTAAACAAACGTTTTTTCTAAAACTGTGTTGCAATATATTCAGTATTACTGTGTGTCTCTTTTCCCAATCCCATGTGTTTATGCTGTCAGCAAGCAAAATGGTTTACGTTTGATTGAACTCGCAGCATCATTGGGAATGGTGGTAAAAGTACATGTTCTCTTCATAAAAATATCCACAAAGCCATATGGCAATCACCAGAGGGTCAAACAAAAAACGAAATTGACAATGTACTGATTGATAGTCGACATTTCTCGGGCAGATTAGATGTAAGAGCATGTAGAGGTGCTAATATAGACTCTCACTACTACCTTGTAAGAACAAACTTAGGGCTTGTATATCAAACGCTAAGAAGGGCCAGAGCACAAAATCTACGAAATATAATACTGATGTGCTAAACTCTGAAGATGCTAGGAATAGCTACAGAAAAATTTTAAATGAAGAGCTGACAAGAATCAACGAAAATTTAAGTATAGAAGTACAATGGACCAAATGCAACATAAACGAAGATTGGTTTGACGAAGAATAAAGATCCAATAACAAACAGAAAAATGAAGCATATAAGAGACTTTAGCAACGCAGAACGAGATCAAACGTGGAAGACTATGAAAATCTTAGACAAGAAGAAAAAAGGACGTTTAGAAAGAAAAAGAAAGATCCAACACAAATTCTCTAAACAAGATTGTTCACCACCACAATAGAAAAGACTCGCGAAAATTCTACCAGAAGATAAACAGCTGCAGAAAAAATTTAAACCAACAATAACAGCATGTAAAGATAGAGATGATTTCATAATTAGTGACAAAGAACATATACTAAACAGGTGGGTGAATCATTTTGAAGAACTGCTTAGCGACAGTCTTGAAGAAGAAGAAGAAGGGTTTTTGGCGTAGACGTTACAAGTTCGAGTTATACAAAAGTTTTGGGGAACCTGACGAAGTAAAATGTATTAAATTAGCACGCCTTCGATGGATAGGACATGTAATTAGGTGAAATGAACATGCAAACAATTCAAAACATTTTCGAGCGAAGAGGACCAGTGTGAAGAGGAACCAGAGAAAGACCAAAACTTAGGTATCAAGATAACATAGAGTATGATCTAAAATCCATCGGAGTTAAAACACGGAGAAGAGTTGCCAGAGACAGGGCGAATGGAAGTTGTTCTGAAGAAGGCTTTGGCTCATAACGAGCTGTAAATGTACTGATGATGATTAAAATATGCTTACCGGGCTACATTAATTTTTATTTCTGTTTCTTTAGCTATCATCAACTTTTCCTTGACTTCATTAGCAGTACTCTTTGTTGTATTTAATACTATTATAACCGATTCATCATCTAGTAAAGAACCTTGTGTAGTTGTCAATTTGTAAAGTAGATTTTGTTCGAGCTCTAGCATCTTTCTCTTGTTTGCCGTTACATCCTTAATGAGGTTGGTTCGTTCTTGTTCAAGCTCTTTCTTTTCTGTTAGAATTACCCTACCAAGTAATTGATCTTCCAGTCCTAAAATGTAAATGAAATAAGTGAAGAACAACTATTAAAATCTTTAATATAAATAAAATTTAATAAAGATTTTCAAATAAGTGCAACAAATTACAGTACGTATTAAAAGAAGAACAAAACTCCGCCCCTAGTGGCTCAGTAACATTATTACTGGTGCCAAGCCCGGATAAACAAGGAGGGTATGCATTAGTAAGGGCATTCAGCAGTAAATAACCTTACTAACACCATGGAAAGAAGAAACAAAGAAAACAGTTTGGAAGCTAGAGTAAACCTTGGCTGACCCCTGCGAAATGTAAGCTAGCACTAGTTCTCAAAGAAGCTAGTCCTGTGAATTACAGCTCTTAACGTCGTTAAAGGAAGACAGCTGGCCGCTTTCATGCAGAGGAGAACGGTTGGTGTACTTTGTGTTCAAGAAACTCATTGGGAACGTAATAAATCGAGAGATCTTGGAGAAAGATGCAAGGTAACATACAGTGGCGCAAACAGTCTTGGCAGAAGTGAAGTGGGTATTATTTTGAACAAGTCGAAGGAACATAACTAGAAGATAGATTAATGAGTGTCACACTGAATACAGGCGATACCAACGTGAACATTATATATGCCTACGCTAAACAGATAGGATATGACGAACAGATAAAGAAAGAAGTGGAATGCGCTTGATTGCAAGCTGCTCGACATTCCTGTCGACCAAAAGTGTTTTATTTTATTGGAAAATGATTTTAGTGGACATAGTGGTAAAGAAAGAGCGGGAATAGAAAGAGTTTATGTAGAAAAGTTAAGGATAAGGATAAGAAATGATGAAAGAAATAGTGTGATTGAAATGTAGTGACATAAATCAAGAAGGAAACAACGACAAACTTATGACGCTATCCGACATACGGAGTTTTGCGGTTTCGATTTAAAAGAATCCAGTTGGGCGATGAATGAATAGTGCGGTTGGATGTAGTAGAAGTATTTTTAATTACCTTTCATGGTGACAGTAAAATCAATTATGGATGCTTTGGCAAATATCTCAGGCGTGTATCTTGGATTTGCCAATCTAGTAGTTATATAAAGTCTAAATCCGCTGTTGTAGTCAACTTCTTTATCTCCTAGTTTCACCTTTAGCGTTGTGCCCACTTTGATAAAATTCTTTTCCAATACATTGTCTAAAACTGGATCCAACTCCTCCGATATATCTTCAATGATTAGCGGATATCCCAATGATACTCCATCTTCTAGGTGATTTCTTAAAATCGAGAAATATTTAAAATTACAATAAAATCGTAACCTATACAGACTACGAGAGTATTGAGAAAACTTTATGCTAGTGATTCTTTTATTAGTTATTGTTTGATTTCCTACTTTCAAATAAAAATTACCTGAAATATTTATGAGTCAGTGTCGTAACAATTAAGCTATTTTCCTTTTCCTTTTCTTTTACCCAGAATTTACCCTGGCTCTGTGGATCTATCAACAATGGATATCTTGAAGCGGACGTTACAATTATTCCATTTTGTATTGACAAGTCGTCATTGGGCAAGCCTTGAAGATTCCACTCTCCAATCTAAAAATAACAACAGCTCTGTTTGATACTGCATTAATTTAAAGGTAGATAATAAGTATGAATATAAATCGAAATAAATGAGAGGATTAGATAGACAATAACTACTATAAGATCGAGTACAAATGTAATATTTGTCATAAAGCAAATTACCGAAGAATTATTTAAGTGTAAAAGACTAGCAATGAATCCTGATATGCTCTCCTTCAAGCCATCCTGCAAGGAAAAATATTTGGAAAGCGAGGTCCAGGAAGAAGAAGAACATCTTGGTTGAAGAACCACAGAATCTGGTTCAATACAACATCTGTGCAGCTTTTTCGCGCTACTGCAGATAAGATAAAGATTGTTATGATGATCGCCAACATTCGTAACGGATAGGCACATCAAGAAGAAGAAGAATCGACTAGCATTTCTGTGGCTAATTGCCTTGAAGAAAGCATTTAACAAAGTAAGGCTCAAACATGTAAACCATTATCTATATAATAGATGAAAAAGTAAGGGTCAACATGTAAAACCATTATCTATATAATAGAGAAGCTCTTTTAGATATCGTAAGAACTATTAAAACCATCTACCAAAACAACGAAATACAAGTGAGATAAGATGAACTACTTACAAACCAATCAAATAGGCAATGAAATAATATGATGAGTATAACGAAAAGGTAGAAAAGAGAAGGCGAAGAAGAAGAAAGGCCCGTGTAAAAATCAAACAACTGAAAACCGAAGCAAACTAACTTAAGAATTTAGGTAACGCAACAAATACTGCAAGATTCTACTAATACATAAAAAGGTGACAAGACTACAACGATTAGGATATTTATTTAGAATAAAAATTGAAAACAGATAAAAGAAATTTTATGGAGAAAACCCAGACAAGTTACAAGGGAAACAGAGAAAAGTATAGCCTAGGAAAAAATGGTCAAATATAATTACAGATAACCTAAAAGAGAAGAAAATAAGAAACTGGGCAGGTTTATATTATTTTATTAGGTTATTATGATCACAAAAGCTAAAAGAAAATGGTGGGAAGAAGATAAAAGTCATATAATTCGAAATATTGTAAAATATTCAGTATTTCATAGAAAAGAAGTATTAGGACGAATGAAGAAATAATAAAACGATATATTTATTTTTAAGAAACATGAACTGCTTTACCATAAAAATTACCAAAGACACTTAATGCAACATATATGGAAATATTACTGAAATGAAACTAAATTACGAATATTATAAAATCATCTTTGGATAGCCAAGCGGGCTGGGGGACTGGCTTCTCCTTCGCTTCAATGCGAGAGATGTCAGTTCAATCCCAGCTCGGTGTATAGAAAACAAAAAGGCTAACGCAGCAGTTTTAAAATTCTAAATGAATCTGCGGCTTAGTCTAGAAGACGCTGATTTATTTAGAATCTGATCGGCCTATGGTGGAGCAGTACGGCAAGAGATAAGGGCTTGCGGCTCGGTGATACTCCTCCATAGATCCCTACCGGAAGAGCGTGTGCCGCCTAAATACCAGTATATATATATATATATATATATATAATATATATATATATATATATATATATATATAATAATATATAATTTATTGTGTTGGAATATCGGGTATGCGGTCTGTTATTATTAAAAAAAAAACTCTTTTTTCTTTTAATATCCTCTAATATTTCGCTGATTTTTTGTCAGCTTCATCAGGAGACAACTACAAATTTGAATAAAAGTTATATAAAAATTAGTTTGAATAAAAAGTGACTCACTTACAGATTTTGAGTGGAAAGTATTTAAACAAGTTGAACATAATTTGTTCAAAACAGTACTGACAGTTTTTGTTAAAAAGTACCTAGGTCACTAGTAATTAAATGTAAAAATATAAAAACAGAGCAAACAAAAACAACGAAACAATTAAAACACAATAAAATTACACATTAAAAATATACAGGGTGATTTAAAATATAATTGTTAACAGAAAAATTATTTAGACATACTAAGAATATTACAGTAGATATTGCTCAACTGTCCCGTGTCTGCCTTGTAATTTACTGCATAGTTTTCTCTATTTATATGACACATTTCCAAAAACAATCTTTTTTTGTAATTATTTTCTTGCTGTAAAACCCTGACATGGCAGTTTTTTTAAAAAAAAAAAAAAAAAAAAAAAACTACCATTAATAAAACAGTTAACACCTTCTGTGACCAGTTTATTTAAACAATTTACCAACATAAAAATTGTCCAATACAATTTATTAGAAAACCGATAACTGTTTTCCAAAGTAAAAGACAAGACACCAACTTTAAACAAAACTAATGTTATCTACAAACTGCCTTGTTTGGATGCCAGAGCTGTTATGTTGGCCAAACTTCTCAATGGCTAAAACAAAGGGTCACCCAACACAAAAGTGACTGCACAAAACGGAAGAACACATGTGCGGCAGTTGACCATCACTTAAAAACTGGCCATCAATTTGATTACTCAAATGTCAGGGTTTTACAGCAAGAAAATAATTACAAAAAAAGATTGTTTTTGGAAATGTGTCATATAAATAGAGAAAACTATGCAGTAAATTACAAGGCAGACACGGGACAGTTGAGCAATATCTACTGTAATATTCTTAGTATGTCTAAATAATTTTTCTGTTAACAATTATATTTTAAATCACCCTGTATATTTTTAATGTGTAATTTTATTGTGTTTTAATTTGTTTCGTTTGTTTTTGTTTGCTCTGTTTTTATATTTTTTACATTTAATTACTAGTGACCTAGGTACTTTTAACAAAAACTGTCAGTACTGTTTTGAAACAAATTATGTTCAACTTGTTTAAAATACTTTCCACTCAAAATCTGTAAGTGAGTCACTTTTTATTCAAACTAATTTTTATATAACTTTTATTCAAATTTGTAGTTGTCTCCTGATGAAGCTGACAAAAAATCAGCGAAATATAGAGGATTAAAAGAAAAAAGAGTTTTTTTTTAATAATAACAGACCGCATACCCGATATTCCAACACATAAATTGTTTTTTACGTTTCGGTCGATAATCTTACCAGTTTTGCTATATATATATATATATATATATATATATATATATATATAATATATATATATATATATATATTGTATATATATATATAATCATCTTACCGTTGCCGAATCAGTTAAGCTATCGATTATATTAAGACTCAAAGTAACGGGCATTTTCCGCCTTATAAGTGCGTCGAGCCAGGATTGCTGCATCAGTTGTCTGAACTCTTGGTTAAATGGTCCGGTGTAGCCTAAGAAACCTGTTAGTAAAACGACATCTCCAACTAGTCGCTCTGTCTCAGCCTTAAACTGTGCTAGTTGCTCGGTCCATCTTACTCTTTCACCAGATAAACCATCTATGAGTGCGGTTGCGGCATCCATCTTGTTTTTCACTTTCATTGCTTCGTCAAAGATTTTCTAGAAATAAAAGATTTTGTAAGTGTCATTTTATACAAAAATATATCCAATATATTTGGAAAAAGCAAGTTATTGTTTTAAACAAAGAATTATTTTTTTATTACAAAGAAAATTAACAATTAACACTAATTTTAATCTTACTCATACTTGGTTTTGTTAAACTGTCATAAAATAAGTTCCGAACTGTTAGGTGATAATCGAAAGTTAAGATAATTTTTTTATACCGCTTGTAAGTTTGCTTGCCATACATCAATTAATATTGCCTTTTTATTTCTCAATAAAAAATACAATATGATATTTTCTTTTAGCGACATTTGTTCTCCTTGGCATATGTCATCAGGAGGGTTTATCAACCAAATATTATTCTCTAATATACAAAAATTACTAAGGCTCATTTTATCTAATAAGAGCCTTCAATCTATCAGCTCATTTTCTATTAGAGACAACTGCAGAAAATTTTATTAAAACTGATACATCACCACAATTTTCTAAAACAACCATTTCAATCAATCTTACAAATAAAACATCAAGCTCGACTTCTATCACTACCAATGAGTTTTCTCCAGTACTTCCAAATGTAATAAAGCCACAGCATCTAAGTGAAAACTCTAATACCAATTGCGAAACCGCAAGTTCTTCCATAAAACGCAGTATTGGTAAGATTGTCACGCCTCCTTCAGACTCAGCAATTTCATCAGAAAATCTGTTTGCAAAACTCAAACCCTCTAAAAAAAAAAAACCGTGCTTATCTAAAGTCCCATCTACACGGAAACTCTTGAAAATTTCATTGATAACCATACCCCAAGACATTTGCAATTACTAAATCATCGAATACATTAGAAGGACCTGCTTCGTTATACAACTTTTGTTTCTTTCTTGATTTACTAACATCGTCACCCCTTTCTATAAAGTAAGAAAACAATCAAGACACGAATTTCTACTTTGAGTGAAATTACCTATTACCACTTTATCAATTTAACTACTAGGTCCAGTTTCTTCATCACTACTCGAATAAAGTCGATCACTGTCATTCTTTCGATAAGCAGGATCACCATCAGAATTATAATCTGATATAATATAATCACTGAAAGCAATTCTTGTAGTATTCGACGCAATTAATCTTCTGATTATCTTTTTTGTTCATTATACGAAGATATGAATACTTTTCTACTACAGAAAATGAATAAAATTGGTGTACATGATGATACCACAGTTAAATACAAATGTCAACAAAAATCCTAACCTACAAAAACTGGAGGCAGGTTTTACCGGCTCGGACAGATTTCCGTTTTCTATAGACCAGACCTTTCTATTTTATCATATAACAACACAGAAACTGTGTCCTTCACGAAGAAATAGTCTCTTAAACACGATAACATACTTAAGCCAAATTGGTACACATGGTCCGTGGTAAAAACATGCTGTGCATCAGTGTGGTGCACATGAGGCTTAACGTATTAAGAGAATGGTCAGTATAAAGAGGTATAAAAAAATGGGGATTTCAATTTCTAATGACTGGGAAATCGTTATATGCAGGTGGGGGCTTTATAGGAGTTGTCGCTTAAAGAAGTTTTAGTGTAATTCATTATTAAACAATTTTTGTCGACATTTTATTTTACAAAAAATATGGCAAGTGGATCATTATATAAGCCTAACACTATTTCTTTTTATCTAAATGAAAAATTGCTAATACGAACCTGTTTAAAAGTCATAGCCTCTTCATATTGCTCTTGACAACCCCTTACTTCTTCTTCCTTTGCTCTTAGCAATTCCATAGCAGCTCCCAACTCTTCTTCGGCTCTTGAGAGTTTGGCCTGCTGAATAGCCAAATTTGCCTATAAATTAAAAAAAAAACATTATTTTAATTGCTATTAAAATTTAAGTACTTTTCAACCTTTAACGGCAGTACTTCTCGATTGACATCGAAAAACGACGCCATTGCCAAAGTCCATGATATCAGACCAGCTACATTACCACAAGCTGTCTTGGCAGCTTCGAACGTATAGATAGGATAGCTAAAATATGGTAGTAATAGATCTACTATTTCTGCGTTGATCGTATCCTTTGGATAATCTTGTAATCTCTTTAAGAAATTTGCTTCAGCCATTACCTACAAAATTACGTTTTAAACGTAGCATTGGACATAAATAAATTAAGAGTAACGTTCTGTGGACTGTGAATTCCAGTGTGTTAATAAAGATGTGGATTTTTTCAACTCGATTGTCTCTTATTGATATGATAGTCATTATTAAGTTGTACCAAATATTAAATTATTTATGTTGTTAGCCACAGTGCGTGGCCAGGGTTCTATGATTTTGATTTTTTGTCTTTTTCGTATAGATACGCGTAAAATCCATTCCTTGTTGCTGATATTTATTTACAAGCTGACCGTGGATTGCCTTCTGCTGACTGCTTAGTCTTCTTATCCGTTATGCATACTCCTCCTACTCCTTTGTTTTAAATAGCAGAATATAATAACAGCAATAATCACTGAATAATATCAAGCTAAGGTAACTGTACCTAAAGAACCAGTAAAAGATGCGAAACAAAAATCTTGGGATGAATTTTGGAACAGCTTAAATAAAGCTTATAAAAATGGCGGTAGATCCTTTTGGAATAAAACCAAATCATTAAGTGGACAAAAGAGAACCGAAATATACAGGAAAAAAAAGGAAACAACAAATCAAAACATAAAGGAAATGAAATTATTAAAGTCTGGAATGACACATCAAGCTTAATGACAAAGAGGACAAAAAATGGAGAATAGACAAAAAAAGGAAGTCATGAAAGCAACAAAAGGAACTAAAAATGGGAAAGCTGGAGAGGAAGATGATATAGAGCCAGAAAGCATGAAATGAATAGGCAAGGTAACCATAGATTGGTGTTGACTAATATATAATATAGGATTGAAGCGATTTTGGAAAAGCGCTTGATAGAGTTCAACATGGTAATCTAAAATAAGGAAGCTTTTGAGGCCGATACAACCTAGGGTGGTGATTTTAGGTCCAAGAGGATCTGGGAGAAAAAACTCAAGCAGACCTGCTTGCTTATAACCTAAACTTGGTCAACATAGACTTCGAGTATCTTCTTTGCCAGGCCTGGATATAGCCAACCGAATTGGGTCAACAGCTCCGTCAATGTAACAACGAAGTTTGTTTTCATGCCGAACTTCTTTGCCAAGTTGTTAACAAAAGAATGGTAATCTCATACATGCATTAAAACACATACACGTAGATCCCAATCATATTAATGTTATTAAAAATCTATATTACAATTAAACAGCAGTCGCACGGGTGGAAGATAGTGAGACAATCCAACTAGAAAATCAAAGAAGAGTCAGACAGATATGTGTTCTATCGCCACAATTATTTAATGTGTACCCCAACTAATATTTTAGGAGGCACTATGTGAAAGAATGGAAGCTGTAAGGGCTGGAGGGAGCATCATTATTAACACAAGATTTACGGACTATATCACAATAATGGCATACTATATAGACGAGTTATAAATTCTTCTTAAAATCATTAACAGAGAAAGCAAAAAGATGTGACTAACAATGAATATAGATAAATCCAAATACATGGTGATATCCAAAACTCCTGTTGACAACATACATTTGACATTGGAGGGTAAATCATTAGATGGGGTCGACAAGAAGTATAAATAACTCGGAGAAATGACAAACTCACAGATTAAGATAAGGAGATAAAAATCAAACTTAAAATACCTCGAAAAGGAATTATAAAATACAAATCCATGTTTACAAATAAGAAATATAATATGGCTATTACCAACCTTCGTTCGAAGAAGATGGCCTTTGATAGCTTGACTGCACAAAGTTACGTTATGGGCTGATATATTGACTTAAAAGTACAAATAGTTACTTCTGGATTTAAAAGCGATAAAATGTTTTTGAACTCGAGTATTTATAGGCCTAAATGTCACTCTCAAATATTGTTAATTTCATAGTGTCGTTGATAAAACGTACCTTCAGCTCTAGGTAAAGTTTCTATTTGAATAGTGACTTATATTATGTGACGTCTTTAAGCACGCCAACAACAACTCTTCCGGTCATGATTATAATAACACTGAACATTCTGTTGACATAAAACTTCGTTTTGTTACCAATAAGATAATAAAATAAGGTTTAAAAGCATATGCTCTCGTTCATGTTCCGCAAGATTTATTATGCGTTTATTATTACAATATTGAACTTACCTTAAGAGATTCAGACCACGATGGTACCAAGAAATTTCGCTCTGGATCTGGTTTGACGGGTTCTAACTTTCTTTTAAAATAAATGAGGACACAATCCATAATAAGTAAAATCAAATATGGGGGCTTTCCTAATTTTCTTACTGTAGCAATATCAGCAGCTTTGATTGTCTAAAGGTTAAGTCAAAGCTATTGGTTAGTAATGGTGTCAATAGGAAGAATCTTGTTAATCAACTAAGCAATAATTAAACAGGCGTATATAAGTAACCATTAAGCCTTTAACGCTTAATGGTTATATTTGTAGCCACTAAAAACTGGTCTGAATGGAGTGGAATAAGCAAATGAGACTCTTTTGTACTAAAAATATGTATATTTTTATAATACGACAAAATGGGGTGGCTAATAATTTAAAAGCACTTCTTTCTAAAGACAATGAAAGCGACTTTATTTAGTAACAAGGTAATTACTCAACACACAAACTACAACAAACATAATGTACAAGAAGTCAATTGACTGTACAACCGATTTATACCAATATTACGTAAAAAAACTCGGACCACAACCCAGTAGTAGCAAATATGAATGTAAGATTGAGAAAACCATTAATGAAAAGATCTAGACCACAAATATGCATTGACAAGTTAAGAGAACCAAATACATACCAAGAAACTCAAAACAAAATAAATCAGAGTATCCAAGAAAATAAAACAACAAAATAAGAACACTACAGATATTGACACAAAGTGGAAGAATATAAAGAACGCAATCGAGAACTGTGGGACGGAAAACTTTAACATTTACAAAAGCTGCCAAACAAGAATGGATGACACAAGAAATTCTCGAAAAGATGGACGAAAGAAGAACACATAAAAACAAAGATAAAATTAAATATCAAGAAATTAATAAACAAATAAAACAGAAAATAATACAAGCTAAGGAAACATGGATGTCCATTAAATGTCAAGAAATCGAGGAATGTGAGGCAAGGTATGACACTTTCAACACCAATAAGAAAGGTTAAAGAAATGATTTCAGGAAATCGTAACAAACCAATCGGGATATTAAAAAATGCAGATGGTACCACTATAACTAAAACGCAAGACAAACTACGTAGATGGAAAGAATACATTGAACAACTATTTTATGATCAAAAAGTAGAACAATTATTAGAAGTTAACGGAGAAACCACGGACCAGAAATAATGAAAGAGGAAGTTATGTATGCTATAAAACACACAAAAGGCAGAAAAGCTCCAGGACCCGATGAAATACCAATTGAACTATTGAAGATAATTAATGAAGATAATATTGATGTCTTGGTAGACCTTTTAACTCCATATACAAGACGGGACACATACCCAAAGAGTGGCTTCTCTCAACTTTTGCGACGATTCCAAAAATCACAAATGCTAAAAGATTGCAATGACTATCGACACATTGCGTTAATGAGCCACACATTGAAAACCTTCCTTAAAATCATACATAACAGAATCCACATGAAATTAGAACAAGAAATAAGTGATTCACAGATGGGTTTCAGAAAGGGTCTAAGGAACTAGAGAAGCATTATTTGGAGTCCATGTTCTGACACAACGATGCCTGGATATGAATCAGGACATATATGCTTGCTTTATAGATTTCAAAGAAAGCTTTTGATGGAGTTCAACAAGAGAAGCTTTTAAGTATTCTTAAGACTAAAACATTGATAGTAGAGATCTACAAATTATATAGAATTTGTATCAAAACCAGAAAGCAAGAGTAAGAGTCGAAGGAGAACGGACAGAGGAAGTAAGTATACTTAGAGGAGTTCGACAAGGGTGTATCCTTTCACCACTTTTATTCAACGTCTACAGTGAAGTGATTTTGAAGAGGCTTTATTGGATATCGTGGAAGGTATTTATGTCAACGGAAATAGCATTAATAATATTAGATATGTCGACGATACTGTCATATTTGCAAGTGACATGAAAGATCTACAGTACATAATACAACATGTATACAATGCATGTGAAAGTTACGGACTGCAAATGAATCTCAAGAAAACGAAATCAATGATATTCTCAAAAAACCACAAAATGTAAATAACCTGATCATCAATAATACAACGATAGAAAGAGTAAAAACATATAAATATTTAGGAACGTGGCTAACCGAAGATGGAGATCAAGTAAAGGAGATCAGATCTAGAATAGAAATGGCAAGAAACACGTTTATAAAATTGAAGAAATTACTTTGCAACCGTAACCTTAATCTAGAGATTCGCACAAGAATGCTACGTTGTTACGTCTTCTCTACTTTACTATATGGCATGGAAGCGTGGACAATAAAGCAGTCTGAAATCAAAAAATTAAACTCCTTTGAGATGTGGTGCTACAGGAGAATGCATAAAATATCGTGGATTGAAAAAGTATCTAATATGGAGGTGTTACAAAGAATGAAGAAAAGAATGTGAAGTCATAAAAAGTGTTAAAATTAGAAAGATTCAATATCTGGGACATTTAATGAGGGGTGAGAAGTACGTATTACTGAGGTTGATTATGCAAGGGAAGATACAAGGGAAGAGAAACCCAGGACGACGCAAAATGTCCTGGCTAAGAAATTTGAGAGAGTGGTTCGGCTGCAGTCATTAGAATTATTCAGAAATGCGGGCCAACAAAGTTAAAATAGCGATGATGATTTCCAACCTCCGCTAGGAGAAGGAACCCAAAGAAGAAGAAGACGTAAAAAAATGCTACTGAATAATAAATCTATCCAAAAGAATCTTTCAAAACTTTTTACCAGACCAACAATTATCATATAAATACAGATATCAAAACACCGGTTTTTTTTTCAGTATCATAAATACAGCTTACCAATAAAGCTGCTTCGGCAGCGTCCAGGGCAGGCTTGGCGGCCATCAATTTGCTTTCAGCTTCTTTCTGATCCACACTAATCAAGGCTACAAGATTTTCAGCCCTATCTTTAACAGTCAAGGCTTCTTCTTTAATTTTGTTGGCTACTTCAGATGCTTCCATGACATCTACTAAGACCTGAAAGGTAATTTTACTTAAATATTAGTAAATAAATTTGAAATGTAAAACTGTAGCGTTTTTTTATTTATTGTGTATATAAAAGATTTCTGTAGTACGCTCCTGTTGTTTTTACCAAGAAAACAATCGAAATAATATTTCAAGTTTTTTTGACGAGATTTTTAAATGCGTATTAACGCTGGAAATATGTTTTTATCTCTGTGTTGCAATGTTAGGTGAAATAACAAGTTTTTTTGTCGCCAAAGAGGTATTATGTTACATGAAGTCCCCCTAATATTCCGGTTAGAAATAATCAATAATGCGTATATTTTCTACCGATTCAAAAGTAAATATAGATGTTTTTTGTCTGTGTTTAGATTCAAATATCAAACCTTTTGTTAGTCAGGTAGAACTCCGGTTTAAATACGTGCTATTTGGTTAATTTGTATCATGTAAATTTATGATGCCCCCTGATAAAAAAAAAGGTTTTATTTGTTTTCTTCGTTTAAAAACGCAATAAACATGAATTCCCCTAATATTAAAGGTGTTTTTCGTTATTAGACGAGGGTCAAAAAAAAAAAGAATATTTGTTTGGTTAGGCAATAAAGGAACATTTAAAATTTGTTTTTTTTTGTCGATAAGAGGAGGGAATATTTGTTTTGGTTTTAAGTGGGTCGGCGACAGGCTGCAAGACGGAAGGGGAATTTTTGGCTGATGCTGGTAAAATGTAACGAAGCAAAAGAGTCGACTGAGAGATTTCAAACAGGGCAGACATGTGACAATAGAGTCGACGAGATTGAAAAGAGCAACGAGGTAGGCAGGTGATGTAAGGCAGCTCGAGTTGAAAGAACTTGGGCATTTTTCATAAACAGCCGGTAATTTTGTGTAATGGGTTAATAATGCAGACCTGTAAACAGTGGACTCTCCGTAAACATGACGGATTAGCATAGAGAAACACTAAAAGGATTTATGCAGTATACCAGAACATGGTAAAATTTTAAAGCAGTACATAGGGTGTGCCACCAGCTTCGTGTGTCATCTGTTTGCCCCAACCTCGTTCCTGAGTATAGAAATGTTTCCTATGTTCCAGTTAGAGGATTTGTACAAGTAGCTTCCAGTCAGAGATGTAACAAGTTTTTTTTAAGTTGAGTGACGAAATATGTAAATTTTAAGGTAACAATTCAATATATTAATTTTTCAAAGTAAAGACAGATATTTTTTGGCTAAAGTAATAATTGCTTTCATAACAAAAAAAAAATTGTAATATGTATGGTTATGCTGTTAATACTTTTGTTCTTTGTCATCAAAATTAAATGTGATACCTGACAGCAAGCTTAATTTGTTTTTTTTTGTTATGACAATTTTAATTTGTAAATTTTAATTTGATTATTATGTAGAAACGATATTTCATATATAAGGTTAAATTTATATGTTTTCACTAACAAGGATCCTTAATTTTTGATAATCTAATTGGCCATAATATAGTAAACAAAGAACATGTAAGTCTTTGTTATTTGTATTATGTTATATGATATGAATTAATTTGTTTCTCTGATCTATTTTGAGTTTTATTTGAAAAAGATATTTTTTTCTATATTTTTTATATTCTATAATTATTTCCCTAGTTACAACTAGTGGTTGTAATAGGTATAATTAGGCACCTCAAGTGGCGCCCTATATTAAATTTCTTGAGGTGTTTCCGTTTATTTTCATTCTGTTTGTCCCAAGAGATTTGTATAAGTACCCCTTTATTTCTTTTTTTTTTTGTAGTTGCCCCAATCTAACCCCCAATATCTTCAACTTATTCACGACCCAGCTCTCCAACAACCAACTGAGTGTCGTATGCACTTGTTTCGATTATTTTGTTTGCCCAATCTTGTCCCCATATTCTTACCCTGTGGTAAGCAAAATAGTCGTTACAAAACGAATATTATGCCGAAGCTTAAATTAATCGATAGTTAACAATCATAAATAAAAACGATATTTTAACTTTAACACACTTTATGTTTTGCACTTACTGCTTCTGCTTTCTCAGTAGCCGAAATCATTTCGACCTCTTTCACAGCCAATTCTTTGCGTAGTTCATCCACACTGGCAGCTGCTTCTACTAACTTCTTAAGACCCGTTTTCATTCTTTGAGCCATAACCCCAATTTCATCCAGTTTGATTTTGTACAAGACTTTGTATGCTCCCAAAAATGATATAAAAGTTTTGGGTGTGACGTAAGTTCTTCTTCGGAATCTGCAACAAGATGAGTATTAAAATAATGCTACAAGTTTTTAACGTTCTAATCTGGACTTCAAAAATATAAATGGAAGGCCCTAAAACAATCGATGCTGTTAGAATCCTCAGAACTAGTTCGAATACACTTGTTTTATTATACTCGTAAAATATCGCTTGATTTAATGTAAACATTAATTATAAATTTTTTATAATATGATTTAAATTTGGCTTATATTCGACACTAAATAATAATCTTGTTTTTAATGGCAAATAGAGCGCTGTGAAATCCAGATAAATTAATGAAATTAAACAAATTTGTTGTAAAAATAATTCTATGAAAAACTTTCTATGCTATTGCTCTGTTGTCATTTTGTTGTAAAATTACTAAAAAAAAACATTCATAACTTCTTTTTTCCATTTTACTTATTTATTTATTTATCGTATGGTAATTACAACACATTTAGAACAAAATTACAAACACTAGTAATATAGGTATATGACAAACTTTAAATAGTTACAAAAAAACATAAAGTGTATTAACATAATTAATTGACTCTGAAGTTGCAAACAGGAAGTCTTCAAGGCTACCATTGTAGGATCTTGAGGGACACTCTTCAATAATGTAGTCGATCGTTTGGTTCTTCCCACAGTCACATTGAGGAGACGGATTCTTTCCCCATTTATGTAGCATGTATGCACATCTGCCATGTCTGGTTCGGATCCTGTTTAGAGTGGACCATGTTTTACGTGGAAGATCAAAACCTGGTGGCTTGTGGGTAATGCAGGGCATGTTATTTTGCCATGTATTCCATCCTATGCATTCGTGATGTTGAACTTCTCATGTATCATTCTTGCCGTTTTCATTGGTGGTTTTCTAGAACGTAGACGGGTATTTCGTGCATCCTCGGTATCTTGGTAGATCGGCAGGTTTATATTGTTCATAATCTTTTTGTATTTACGTGTAAAGTGCGTCAACTCGTCGTATATGTGGAGGTGGAATGTGACTTAATACTGGAAGCCATTGGGTGGGAGTTGATTTAATTGTACCAGCTATCATCCTCATTGTGCTGTGCAGCTGAGTATCGACATTTTTTACGTGTGGACTGTGTAGCCAAATTGGCGCACAATATTCAGCGGTCGAGAAAACAAGTGCTAAGGCAGTAGAGCGGAGAGTGGACGCCGATGCTCCCCAGGTGGTACCGCAGAGCTTCTGTATAATGTTATTTGTTGTACTCAACTTTTGGGCAGTTTTTGTTAAATGCTCTTTAAATGATAGCGTTCTGTCTAGTGTTACGCCCAGGTACTTCGGTGTTTTGTTGTGGGAAAGTGTGGTATCTCAGGAAAGTCTGCCGTCAGAACTTCTTCAGATGTTTCTAGTGTTCTGCATCGTGTAGTGAGGGCCCAGTCATCGATCATCTGGAATCATCTGGAACAGTTCTGTACTGATACTATTATATATAAGCCTCTCTAATAGTTTGTAGATGGCAGAGAGAAGCGCAATTGGTCTGTAGTTTTTTGGGTTGTCAGCGGGTTTGCCTGGCTTTAGGATGGCTATTATCTTAGAGCGCTTTAGTTCTTGTGGGATATTTCCAGTCTCCATGATGTCTGTGAAAAATTGAGCCAGCCAAACTTTTGTATACTTGCCACAATTTAGTAGGAATTCAGGGTGAATATTATCAAATCCTAATGCTTTTGCTGGTTTAACGTCTTTAAGAACCTCTGATATGTCTTCGCTGGTGAAGGAGAGGGAATGCTCCGTTTCTGTGGCTACATGTTTTAAAGTTTTAAGTTCTCTCTTTACGTAGATGGTGTGTGCTTTATCCTTTGGTGTCCTGGATGTTTTTACTATATGTGATGCTACGGGATCTGGCTTTACGGCTGCCTCTCGGCGTTTCGTACGGACACCACTCCCTAATTTTATTAGTAATGACTATGCTTGTCTGCTTGATTTCTGGAAGTTTAGACTTTCTATTGTTTCGGTCCACTTTTGGCCTCTAGCGGTGTCTAGGCTGTACAGTAGTTCATTCGCTATTTCTTGGTCGCCAATTTTAAGAAACCTCTGATATAGTTCCTCGCTATTTTCCGACCAGCCATGAATATATTCTTTACGATATCCTCTTGGTATGTGTTTTTTGGCTACGCTTAGCACGGCACCAACAAATCTGTGATAGTTTTGGATATTCGGTGTAATCCACCCTAGGAATTTATCTAGATCCACAAAGAAGTCAATCCAGTTGGCCTTTTTAAAATTCCATCTTGGACGTGGGATAGAACTAATTAAAGGGATTTGTGTCCCTACTTTTATTATTACTGGTCGATGTTGGCTGTGTGGGAAATTAGTTTGAACTCTTCGTGAAGCCCCTAGAGATAAGTCTTTGTTGTCCGTCGAGACGAAGCATAGGTCGGGGTTGTATTCCCGCCTCCGCCCTCCATGCCGCGGATCTGAAGGTTGGTCGATCTTTGGCATCAAACAAAAGGTACAGGCGTTCGTCTTCTGCCCACTTTATTAAAGCATTCCCATTTGCATCACTATATTTGTACTTCCACTGTTCATGATGGCTATTGTAATCTCCAACATATACAGCAGGGTGAGGCTGTACTTGAATTGCTTGGGCTGGCCAAGAAGTAGCAGGTGGCTTGTAAATGTTGGACACGGTAATGCTAGCAATTTTTGTGACCACATTATAAATACAGTCATCAGTGGAAGTAGAGATTAGCGAAGCATTTTCAATAACTTCTTTGACATATGTGGCTGTGCCGTATGTTCGGTGGTAAGTTGCGCCTAATAGTTCATAGCCAGGTATTTTGCCCATTTTTGTAGTTGCTTCTCTGTTTCGCAGTGGTTTTACTGTATAGCAACTAAGTCAATGTTGTCATTTTTTAATAGTTGTGATAAAAACTGGCTTTTAGCATAGCTTATGCCTTCTATGTTTATGTGGCAAATTCTATGTACAGAATACCAGAAAAGCACGCAATACAGGCATAGTTGTAGACATTGAAAGTCAAATTTTGACTACAAGACAAATCTATAAGACAGAATACTACAAGAAGGATCAAATATATTCGATTGATTAAAGTTAATTTTTATAAGGTTTATAATTTTTAAACTTAAATTATTGCAAAAATTAGAAGCTTTAGTGACACGATCTTGATAGTTATAATAACAAGTAAACTGTTATACTTTTAAATTAAGGATTAAAATATTTTTGATTTATTTACCTATCGAAATACTGCTCGCAGAAAATACTAACTCCATCTTGAATCTCTGCCATGATTCCTATAAGTTCGTGTTTCACCTCTGCTGTAGCTACCATATTATATTTTTGCAGAAAATGTGATGATACTTCTATAAGAGCATCCTCTGGCCATTTGTCAAACCAATCTATCGTACATCCCGATATTAGTCCAGGGAATTTTAGTGCTCTACTACGGAATTTTTCTCCTACCTTTGTAAGTAAATCAATTATAAGTTATAAATAAAATGGCAAAATTGAATAAAATATTTAAATCTTTTTACTAAAAATGATAGTGCAAAAAAACATGATTTAAAAGTATTAAAAATACTGTAAAAAATGTGGCATAATAGTGTAGATGATAAAGTAATAAACAAAAAACAATAGATGTCGTATATACCTTAATAAATAAAGTTTTCAGCGAGAAGAAGATAACAGACAACTAGAATGAAGTAGTAAAAAAAGAGACAGCAAAGATTGTAGCATTTTCAATTTCATTGATTCTTTGAAGTATATTGAAAGCTCCTCGTATAATGAAATATATTAAAAATTCCTTATATATGTTTAAAAGTTTGAAATACGCATATTTGTCTTAGCATTGCTGGAGGTTAATGTAAACCATTTTAAAGTTGTTTATTTATTTTAACTTTCTCGGCAATTTGTTTTAATGTTCATTGGAAGCCGCGTTATAATTTCAAATACGTCGCAAAAGGATATTTACGTTCTAATTTCGTTGTGTTTTGTTATGTCAGCGTTCGTCTTATTTTCAATTTAAGATCGAATTTTTAAATTCGTCATTCATACTCGAGCCTTCGCAGAGTGAGGTGTGGATATTGATTGATACTCGGGCCTTCGTAGTGCTAGGAGGTATGGATCCACAGATTCTCCATCGAATTTGTGTTCTTCTATTTTTTTGGTCAATTTCGTGGAAATAAGTAGCAGTAGTCGTGAAATTTTATCCGTCATGAAGTGACCGGCATAATTTGCCAAAATTGGTGGAGTTTTCGCTCGATGTAATATGTCATCTTAGAAAGAGTGACCACTGTTTCGTTTTTTTTTGAAGATTTTAAGATGTTTAAAAAGTCTAGTTCCTGATCCTGTTCCAGCCCCCAATGGATGTTTTTGCTGATGATGTCAATACTTCAGAGATGTGACAAGTTTTTTTTGTTAAGTGAAAATCAAGGTAACTGTTTTTTTTTGTGTCCAAGGTTTAAAGTAAAGACAGACAATTTTTTTATAAAATAATAATTGCTTTCGTTGAAATTTAAAAATTGTTACATTTAAAATTGTAAATTTTAGGTTTTGAGTTGAGCTGTCGAATTGTGTGTTTAGTTTTTTTTTGAAATTTAATGTTAACTTATGACAGCTCGTTTTTTATTATTTTTTTTTTGACTGTTATAGTTTGTTTTATTTTTAAACAAGGTTAACCTCCATGTAAATTTGTAAGATTATGTAGTATCTCCAACTCCTGGAGTTTGTAAGCGGATGACACGTAAGTTTTTGTATTTTGTATTTCTCCATTTTGTAACTGTTTGTGGTGACACAAAAATAAATGTTAAATTTTGTTTTCTTAACATTTTATTTTTTTGAACTAACTAACTTTTTTGAGTCTTATTCGAAAAAGATATGTTTTTTATGCTTTTGATGTTTTCTAATTATTTTCCTAGTTACAATTAGTGGTTGTAATAGGCATAATTAGGCACCTCAAGTGGCGCCCTATATTAAATTCCTTGAGGTGATTCTTGTTTATTTTTATTTTGTTTATCTTAAGAGATTAAGTACCCCTTTATTTTTTTTTGTAGTTGCCTCATTCCACCCCCCTTATCTTTTACTTATCCACGACCCCAGCTCTCCTACCAAACCCTGAGTGCCGTTCGCACAAGTAGCGATTATTTTGCTTGCCCTATCTCCACCCCCAATAGTTTCTTCCTTCAATTTTCTACCCCCTGCATTAATGAACCCTTTGGTAGGCAAAATATTTCCGCTACAAAAATGGCCCCATGTTGGGCGCCATTTTTGTAACGAAAATATACCTTAAACGATTAGTAATAACATGTAAGCAACTATAAACTAACTAGTATAAGGAATGGTCATTAGGATACGAAGCTTTCCTGTAAACTTTCTAGCTTCCTTTTCTTGCTTTCTAGGTATCTTGGTATAATAGGTTCTATTATAAAACCAAGTTTATTTAAAAGAAGAAGAAGAAGAACAAAAACAGATAAGAACAAGTAATAATTGCTACACTGCTAAACAATTTATAATATTTTCGACTATAAGGTCTAACTTTGTTGCTACCATTTTCTAGTATTAAGTACACATATATAGAAATGCAACAGCTTAAAAAAAACTTACCGGTGAAAAACATAACGTTACGTGCAAATTAGTTCTAGCCCTAGTAATAAAGAAATCATAAAGATTCTCTATAGTAGGGGGCCTTTTTGGAGCAATTTTCTTCATGACTGGAATAAGTTCTGATTGAATCTCATCCAGTTCATCTTTTGCGAACAGATTCGCTATCTCTCCTGAACTTAAGATGTTATTAACGCTTTCCAAAAACGTCTCTTCTTTGATTTCGTTGTCGGTAAAGATGAAAGTCATTCCAACTCCTTCTTGGCCGGCCTTGCGATAGAGAATTCTCATGTCGTCCATTAAATTTCCTACGTTGTATGATCTAAAAAAAATAGTTATACAATTAAATCAAATATAGACAAGTTTAATAACTGAAATATTAACCATATAACAATTTTGGGGTTAATGTGGGATTCCTAGAAAGGCATAAAAAATAAACAAAAACATGAACAATTGGTTACAAACAAAGCTATATGGAGTATAGTTTGACATTTATGACATTATGTATTAATAGAGGAAGAAAATAAATATAAAAGTAAAAGATTACAGTGCTTTTACAATACCATCCATGGTATACAGAATTTTATTTTCTTAAGGCCATTTTCGTCATTCTATAGATGGCTTTTCCGTTCATGAACGTTGACAACTATTACGAGAAATTGATTATATATATATATATATATATATATATATATATATATATATATATATATATATATATATATTGTGTGTAATTCTCAGTAGTTAATATTCTTTTATTTCTGTCCAAACTTTTACCGATTTGTTTGTCATGGTAGTTATTTTTTTATCCGGACTTCTTTTGAGCTCCATCTTCTCCTACTGTGACGTAGCGAGTTATATTGCTCACATCGATCAATGTGTCTCCCATTACCCATGTTACTCTTTCTAATAATACTTTTGTATCATTTTTAACACACTTTTATTCGTTATGTGTTTTACTTTATTCGTTCTAATACTTTTTCCTTCTAGTGTGGGCTTCCTAAGAAAAAAGCGCGTGAGCTATAGGAGGTAAGAGCGCGGATTGGAAAAGCTGGATTCACCTTCAAGCAGATGAGGGCTTTCTTCAAGGACCACTATATCTCTTGGTATAAAAGTAAGAAAAATGCAAATCTACGTCTTCTCTCTCTATCTCTCTCTCTTTTTTATGGTGTTGAATCATGTACTCTGAACGAAGATATCACTGAACCACCTTCAAATCTCAAAAGCCACAACACTTCTAAGACATTGTGTGAAATACATCCAGATATGCACTCATGCAGGATGGAAAAATATTTGGCAAGCGAAGTCAAACTCAGAACCTGGGTCAACAGAACATCTAATCCAGCTTGTAGCTCTTCCACGCCACTGCATACAAGATAAAGCTTGCTATGATGATCGCCAATACTCGTCACGAGTTATGCAGACCGAGAAGAAGAAGAAAGAAACCGTTTTTATATATTTCATACAAATTAAAGATCTAATATTGTAACCGTTGGTTCTTAGTGGTAAGAATTGATAAATACATCCTACAAATTTGATTTGTTTCATTAGTTCCAAAGTTAGTTTTATGACCACTTTCATTAGAATTAATATTATTCTGAAAGGAATATGATTTGTCGTCAAAATTCTTACTACCCGCTGACTATTAAAGGTTTTTTTGCCTTCCTTATTGCTGACAATGATGATTCTGTTATTATAACCACGTCATCTACTATCTAATATATTGGAAGCTTACTTAATAATCTCTGAACGAAAAATATATATTTACCTGGTTAGCTGTATTTGGAAACTCTGATAGTTTGCCATAAACGATGCCAAACGGGTTAGACTTTGTTTTCCAGAACCCCCCACACCAACAAGAAAAGCATTTCCTCTTGGAGTTCGTATTATTCTCGAGATTATCATTAAGTGTATCATGGCATCTTGAAAAAATACCATATCCATCTGACCACCCCGAATTGCTTCGTTATAGGCTTCCATAAAAGCTAAAACAAATAAACATGTAGCAGAAGTCATCATTTTTTAGTAGGATTTATATTTTATACCCAGCAGTTTTTCCTTGAGAAATTCCCAACTAGGAACTTCTTCGTAAATCTTAGGGGCATCAAAACAGAAATCTTCAGGCTCATCGCCTGTAGCTTCGGGAGGCTCGCGAAGGAAATCAACCCAGAATGTTTCATCCTCTGGATAATACTCAAAGTCATCACCGAGTTCTTGTTCAGCTTGAGTTTTTAGAGCTCTTGTAAACCATTCACGGTCAGCTGCTTCAGTAAACCTACAAGGAAAACTCTATTAAAACAATTTGGTTTTTTGTTTCAAGTAATCTTTTTAAAAAAATAATTAAGCCACAATTGAACGTTTTAACTTAAATGTTTATTAATGTTTATCTTACAGCGTCGAATTACGTAAGGTGAAAAACGTTACAAACATATTTTTTTACTTACCTATCTGAAATTACTCTAGTACACTCGTGTCTCCAGAGCTTAAGAGCCATATCCTTAGTCGGACACTCGAGCATTTGGACTGTCAGTATTCCTTGCCATATTCTAGACAAATCTCGGAGATTAAACACATAGTGGAATTTGGCTGGAGTAGGTAACATTTTCTTTTTGGTATTCTGCCATACATGTCGCGTCAGTGGCACTAGCTTTGGAATAAACTCTGCTATTTCTTCATTAAATCTTTCTAGACAAAAGTAGCCGCAGGCAATTTGACCTACAATTGTTTACATTTGCGTTACAATAAAAGAAAATGAATAATTAATTAATAAGTTGTCTTTATTTTAAGACTATTAGAGATTTATTTTACCTATTATCCCCAATAAATTGGGCATATAATGTATATTTGAGACATCTTAAATAAGTTGTATTACCTAAAGAAACTGAATGCCGGCCTACAAAACCTTTAGATCAGTGTTTACCTATGGTTTAAAACCCTGTGTTAGAACAAAATCGGTCAGTCGCAACTGTTGATATTTGGCAGAAAGTATCCAACTTACTCTATAGGCGGAAGAACCAATTAAGTCAGCGGTATCAGGATATATGAAGAAGTTTGTGTTCCTCCGACAAATAAATGTCAGCGGGTCTACCTGGTCCAGGGATGCAAGATTTGGGACTTTTTCCTCAGAACTGGGGAAATTTGAGAATCTTTGGGGACTGGGGAAAAACTTTTTTAAAATGACTGAGAAATTAATCTGGCTAAAATTTATTATTAAATTTAGTAAAAAATAGTTAGTAAAAAGTCCAGTAATTATGTGAATATTAAATGTACTACAACAACGAGATACGATCGCTGTGTAGGTCCGAAGTTCCCCGACTTATAAGAAACAAATAAAATTATCAAAACTTCTTAGAAGTCATGAGAAATCGCCATTTGTCATTTCCTGTAATTCTGTATAATAACTGTCATACTTTCAATATTGTCAAAAACAATTACTATGGCTATCAGTGTCACCAACAACGCTTCACATTTTTTTCAAGCTTCTGTCATATGCCATGTAATTCATGTATAATAATAATAATATACGCCATATGACAAAAGCTCGAAACCAACAAGAAGCGTTGAAAACTCCTATGGCTGGATATAATATCGGTAACCTACATGGCAGGCAACACATATGGTAACACGGGTTGCATACATGTAGAAGAAGGTTTATTAAAAAGTGAAATATATAATTCTGAGAAATTCTGTTCAATATCTGGCAACTTTTAAAACGCAATTTGAGGAGATCTATTTTTTGGGCCTGGCAACGCTGGGCATTTCGGCATAGGACCTTTATCTAGCCACTAACCCCTACGAGTCCGACTCCATTTAAGGGTGGCGCATTGCACGAAGCATCGCGGGGCTCCTCCCTCCCCGTAGTACCTATGTTGCGGTACGAATAACCATCCGTTATCTCTCCTCGGGCAGAAAGGTGAGCGTAGGTAGAGGAACTTGATCTCCTTTCTTATTCTTAAATCTCCAATAGTCGGTACATGCCGCAATCCTATGCCCTAATGGGGAAAGGGCGTATAAGTGTCGCAGCTCCTTGAACCTCACTTTGATTCTGTTGAATAAAAGTAGAGTGGTCCCACGAGAGACTCGTCTCAGATACTAGGAGTATAGACTATAGTTTCTACAAACCCGATATCTCAAGCTACGGCTCTCTATCTCTCATCCTTCCTATTGGTCGCCTCTTACGATAGGCATGGATATCTGGTCCGGCCGTATTCTTATCTCTATTCTCTCTATAAGAAAGAAAGAAGAAACGACTGCATTAAAGATCCTTTATTTACTCATCATGGCAAGTAAAATTAATAATAGCTCTGAGTACCGGCGCTTTTTCAATAAACCAGGAGTGTAAACAATTTCAGGACTAGCTCTAATGAAGAAATCGACAAAAATTGCATTATGGAATATTCGAAGCCTACTTAAAGCACAAAAGGTCCATCATGTAATTTAAAAAGTGAGCAGGGATATTATTGAAATATTAGGATTGAACGAAGTAATATGGCCCGATACAGGAAGACTATGTTATCGACTATGTTATCTATTTCTCTGGAGGAAAAAATAACTGTCTTCAATAATATGATGTCGCATTTATCATACACAAAAACATTGATTAATCTCTAGACTAAAATTATCTAGATGTGGCTGAAAAAAAAATCAGAATAATAGTACAAATAAAATATTCCTTTTCATATATTTCGATTTAAGATTATCTTAAAAAATGGCGCATATCCCTCATTTTATTGACATAACACTTACTGAATATAACATCCATTGCAGAAGTACTTGGTAATGTACAATTGAATATATTAAACTGCCTTTTAAGTCTGTGGGGAATATCGTTTCTACCACCTCCAGGATGAATCATAGCAGACAGGAACATAACGTCAGCAATAACGGAAAAATCGCCAGGTTTATCCAAACTATAGAATCCTGAAAAACAAGAATTAATAAACATTTATCTGTCAACTTTGTATTTCTTTGTTTACCTCCAGTTTCCATGCATTGTCTTACAATTTCGTTTGTGATTTGATCCCCCCAATCATTAATTACAGGCATATTGATGTCGTCTATAAATATGGTTAAAGTTTTTCCTGCAGGTGGTCCGTAGGTTGTACCAACTCTCTTATCGACATAAGATTCTATGATGCGCTAGAAATAGAATTATTCACTATCCTGCCGTCAAAATATATTTAAAAAATTATCTTTAATTTATTGACTCTTCGCAATATTTAATTAGACTAAAAATACATAAAAGTTAGACAGGAAGAATTCAATTACCGTAAAATTGGGTGAAATTGATCCAAATGGGCGAAATTGATCATTGCGAATGATTCTGAATATATTAATTTTCCCTGAAATCTAAGAAGCTTAACCCTTAAGTACCACGGCGGGGTCAAAATTGACCCCCCCCCCGCGTTTTTAATGCCAAGTTTCGCTACCGAAACATAATGTTCGATCGGTAGGTGATTTATCGATCTACGAAAATTCCGTTAGTTTATCTGTTACTACTGCAGAGTTAGGCATGCATAGGGTCAATTTTGACCCGCTTATGGTATAAGTGTTTCTAGTGCAATTAACGAGTAATTTGAAATGGCGGGGTGTAGTCGCAATAAACGTCCTCTGACACAGAAAGAACTTGAAGAGGAGGGACAAAAAATTATGGACAATGGACTAGATGGTGACAGTGAGTTTTTAGACCAGGCTAGTGAACACTAGATGTCTTATAATGTGACCAAAGTATTCTAGCTTGCGCTTCTTTACTATATTGACCAGTTATGTTGTTTGGTCCAGCCGTCTAAAGACCTCCTCATTTATAACTCTGTCGACCCAGCTTATTTTCAGTAGTCGTTTGTATACCCACATCTCAAATGCTGTCAAGCCTTTAAGGATAGCCTCAGTTAGAGTCCACGCTTCCACTCCATACAGCAGGACAGGAAAAATTTGCAAGATGTCATTCGAACTCTAAGGTCAAAGCTAAGATTGTTTTTATTATGGCTATATTTTTGATATTTTTTGATAGTGAAGTTTCTTTAGCTTCGTAACTTTTCGGTGCCTCACCGGGGGCAAATTTGATAACATTTTTTCGGAAGAAATCTTAAATTAGTGCTTTCTTTTCAGAAAAAATGGTTCGAAATTATACAAGAAAACTTGGTGCTCATTCGTATAAGGACTATGACGAAGTAAGGGTGGAAAATGCCCTCCAGAAAGTTTTTGAGGACGGATGGTCTTTACATCGCGCTGCCAAAGAATATAAAATTCCCTATAAAACCCTTAATAACTGAAGGTTACATAACTGAAGATTAAGGTAACAATAAAACACTGAAAACAAAGTTTTCAGTGTTTTATTGTTACCTTAATAACTGCTTTAATGGCCGACATGGAAGAAAATATGGTGATTTCCCCTTGACTGGCATAATACAAAATATTTAGCCAAAAGTGTTTTGAATACCCAGGGTCGACAAGTGCCTCTTTTTAAAACCATTTTCATGAAACTAACTAACTAACTAATAACTATCGTCCTATCAGCTTAACACCTATAATATCTAAGATAATGGAAACTATTATTGCCGAGACAATTTCTGATTTTCTGCAAAATGAACTGGTTATACCAAAACAGCAGCATGGTTTTGTCAAAGGACGTTCTACAATGACAAATCTTCTCTGGTGTGTCAATGAATGGTCAAGAGCATTAGATAGAAAAGCCCCGGTGGACATTATATACCTCGATTTTGCTAAAGCTTTCGATAGAGTTCCAAAACGAAGACTATTACATAAATTGGAACACCTTGGTATCCGTGGTCAGCTACTGAAATGGATCGACGCGTATTTAACAGATAGAAAATTTTGTGTTAGAGTTGGGGACTCTTTCTCAGTTGAGAGAACGGTTTTAAGTGGGGTACCGCAAGGATCAGTTTTGGGCCCACTCTTATTCATAGCATACTCAAGTGATCTACAATTTCATATTAAATGCAACAATGCTTTCTATGCAGATGACACGAAGCTATTTTCCGATCCCTCCGTAAATTTCCAGTTACTACAAGATGACCTTGATTGCATATCGGAATGGTGCTCTACCTGGATGCTGCCTCTTAATGTGGAAAAATGTGTAGTTCTTCACATGGGTAAAAACAATCCGTGTCTTCCTTACTCTATTAATGGGCGCGTGTTAAAAACAGTGAAATCGCATAATGATCTAGGCGTTATAATTAATAACAATCTAAGTTGGTCGGAACACATTTTGCATATTTCTAAAAAAGCTAACAGTAAATTATATCTACTAAATAAAACGTTTGCGAAAATGTCATTTATGAGCTCAATTCATCTGTATAAACTGTACATTCGTCCAGTTCTGGAATATTGCGGAACTGTTTGGTGTCCATTATTAGTGCGCGATCGTAATATTCTCGAAAACGTACAGCGGCAGTGCACCAGGATGTCTTTTGGTCGCTCAAGACCTACGTATACAGAAAGACTGAATATGGCCAATCTCACTACATTTGAACAACGTCGACTTCGAGGCGATTTAATTATTACGTTTCGGATAGTAAAATACAACTTTGGAAATTTGGGGAATATGTTCATAATAGACAATGACAATCGTCTTCGTGGCCACAAACTTAAGTTTAAAAAGGAAACTTTTTTAACAACAACCAGACAATTTTTTCTCTGTAATCGAGTGTTCTCGATATGGAATAGCCTTCCGGCTGAGATCATAGATGCTCCATCTGTCAATATTTTCAAAAATAAACTGGATGACCTTTTGTTCCATAGTTGAACATTTAATTTGTACTAAACACTTACTATTACCTATGTTATTGTATATTCATTTAGTTAGTTAGTGCTTAATATGTAACTACTGTAATGTAACAATTTAATTGTACACTATATAACATTGTAGTCACATGGGCATATGGGTTTTGCAACCCCTGCTCAAATCTATTGTAAATAATAATAAATAATAATAAATAATAAACTAACTGGGTGTATTCATTACTAAGACAACATAAAGCAATTAACCAAAAAGTGGCGACCAATATGAAAAGACCTAGAGCTAATATTTCAAAGAAAACTTTAGATCTTCAGTTATATCCAGAACGGGTTTTCAATTTTACCAAAGCAGCAACGACTATAATAAAGTGTGCTTCGGCTTTAGGGTTACTGTTACCACCATATATAATTTTTAAAGCAGAAAAATGTGGTTACAATGGTTACAAAATGGTCCAGTACCTTGCTGTACTGACAGACGCTGCTCTGTAGGTTCTCGATATAAGATTTACAGACATTTACGGATTGGTTTACTTTGACCTTTTTATCACATGCAAAACGTCTTGAAACTCGAAAAATCTTTATAGGAGATAACCTTTCCTCACATTTTACCGATGTGGTAAATATATGAGTTTTATTCATTTCACTAATTTATTTGTCTTCATGAGAAACATTAAATTAAAAAGGTACTAAACAGATCTTTTTTTAATCAGATGATGTCTACTTACAATTTATAAATGTTTACTAATTTCATTAACTCATATCTTATTCAATACATTAATGAACGTGAATAAATCCAATGGTACGCCTATTAAAATGTAAACAAACACGCTTCCTCATTTCCTTATCTTAAATAATGTAAATTGTATGTACTTACAAATGAAATGAGAGATCGGGATGTAAATATTTCGTTTATTTTATTTCACTTTTCACAAATATCACTCAAAATACAGCCAAAATATCGAAAAACAACTTTTCCTCGTCTACTGTAAAAAGTTAACAAACATGGAACAGCATTTGAAGTTTGACGTAGATCCATAAGACAGAGAAATGTAAACAACCGTTGCTATTTATAAATAGTTTTCAGTGCTTCTACATATAAAAAAATTGATTGATATCTATTATACGATATTATTAAATGATAATGCACACTATGTGCATACATGATATGTTGATTACAATTAAATATATTAATCTAACCAATAAATTATTATTTTGGTTTGATAGCACCTGTAGAGTATAAAATACGGAGTTATATTTTCAGCGACTCGCGAATAAGAAATTTTAAAACAAAACGTAACGTGACGTGACGAAACAAACAGTTGAAGGTGCTGAGAATGTGACCTATTCAAATAATTTTGACTACACAATTTTATGTAAATAACTGAGTCCATCTGTGTTTATGCGTCCATGGGTGATATCTTTATACGAACAGAGCAATGTGAGCTTTTTATGTTTGGTCAAAAACTCAACACATTTGACCCAACCACTTGATGTCGTTTTTTTCCGTTACTTTTAGATGATTTGGAGGGAAATTTTTAGTAATTGGAAAAACTGTCACCGACAATAACCACCATAGACTTTCCAAGAAATACTTTCCAAACTTGTTAAATACTACCCTGTAGCACATGGACAAACAAACAAAAACAGCGGTCGAAAACAGCGCTAGAAAACGAATTATTAATTCCTCCTTTGCAGCCAAGGGAATTTACCATTTCTCCTTCGAGAAAGTTTTAAATAAGTTACTTAGAGAAGATGAAGAAATAGAGGGCCAAATCGACAATCTTTTGGTGCATTATCTAAATGAGAAAAGTTATTTAGCTGCACCATCCAGGCGAAATATTAAGCGAACCAAATTAAATGTCGAGCCGGGAAAAAGTTTTGTAGCTCAGCAAACTGATAAAACTGACAGCGATAGTGAAGAAGAGCCACCAAGTGATAACGAAACAGAAATATCTAACTTGGATGAGTCTGACAATAATGATGGGGTTAAATATTTTGCCTATAACAAAGATGACATTAAAGAAGGAGTTTTTTTTGTTATTAAAGGTATTGGAAGGAAGCAGGAAGAAGTAATACTATCGCTATGTTGTTAAAATTCAAAAAGCCAACGAAAATGACCTAGACGTTGTAGGATATAATTTAAAAATAAAGTAAAAAAGGCCTTCAAACTGGTCGAATATGATAAATTTTCGGTTAAAGTGAGTGGATATTATTGCAGTTTTGCGCTATCCCGAAGTCTATAATTCAACAGAAACAGCTTGCAAGTTTAAAAAGTGGAATAATGTAATAGAGATATAATATGTCACTTTAAACTTAATATACATTATGTTCAAAGATGTTTAAAATTATGTTTTTTGGTGTTCTATATTGCAGTACTAGCCCAACTTTGTCATTTTTTGGCTTAAGCATATTAAAGTTTACTTTTCATGACCTGTATCAAACGATTTCAATTTAAAAAAATATTAGTTTTTATTAAATATGGCTCTTTGGTTCAGTTTTTTTAATATCATTGATAACTTTTGTTAGTTGTCAGATTATAGATTGGTGTATTCAGTTTACCATATATTATAACAGGCTACATTCATACTTTATATTCAATACCGATTTAATTTCTTTGGTTTTCAAAAGTGAGTATAATCTTAATTAAACAAAGTAAACAAATTTACCTGAACCATGTTTGGAGTAGTGGCAGAAGAAAAATTAAAGCATTTATTTAGCTTATATTCAGGATCAAAAGTTGAGCAGTAACCCTTAATCATAACGGTTTTGGCAGTTCCAGGTTCACCTACAAACACAGTACTAGCATAAAAATTATTAAATATTTCACTGAAATTACTCACCAATTAGCAGTACAGCTTTGCCCTGTTTGGCTATAGTATGTATTAAAAATGCTGTTCTAACGTTGTCAACGTTAGGTACCAAGATCGAAGTAAATTCTAACACAGTATCTGTAGGATATACAAAGGGTTCAACTCTGGATTTCCAGTGTTCCCATCTTCCATTGTCTGGGTTTACTACAAATTCAAAAATGGTTTCTCCTTCCTGAGCTTTTGGCCAGTCCATTTTAGACGGGTGGGTTAAAGCAAATTCTTCGAGCTTTTGTCTGTCGTCTAACTCTAAGAGTGCCCCCAAGGACCACATTATCGAGAATAGTACCAATCTTTCTATTTGTCTATCACTCCATGTCTCTAAAAATGAATTACGGGGATGAAAAAATATTATTATACAATAAATCCATTCGCCAATTTTACAATTTTTTCTTATTAGTCATTGGCATTGACATTAAAAATATCTACCATTAATCGTCTGGAGGCCTTTGAAATGTGGCTGCACAGACGTATACTAAAAATTCCATGGACGGCTATGCTGACAAATGTGGCAGTCCTTGAGAGAGCAAATGCTGCTCGCGAGCTGCTTGATAACATCAAATGTAGAAAGATGGCCTATTTTGGACACGTAGTAAGGGGAGACCGATATAATATTCTTCAATTTATTATGATGGGTAAAATCGAAGGATGCAGAGGAATTGGTAGAAAGCAGGCCTCTTGGTTGAAGAATATCAGAGAGTGGACAGGAATAAAGAAAGCTGAGCAACTCTTTAGAATAGCTCGAGATAGAGACAGTTTCGCCATGTTAATCGCCAACGTCAAGGGGACTTGATAGGGCATGTTAAGAAGAAGAAGTCATTATTTCGTATTAAATGTTATATTAAATCAATACTATAATTGATCTCTCGTAAATAATTTTTTTTTAAACTTTTTGATAATCTGTTTATGATTACTTTTGTTTTCATTAGGTGCTTTTTTATTTAGATATAAACAAGACGACCAGGTCCATAGTGTTCCACAACAAATTCTTGTGCAGCTCTCTACTTAACGCGATAGCTACTGTCCAATGTTCCTCAACTTTTTTTATTTTCTTTAATTTATTATAATTTTTTTATTGAAAACAATTTTACTATTTTTTTATATAGGTATTATAAAAATATATACATCAACAGATAATAATTCAAGACAACTATAAGACAATGCAACAGTCAGAATGGCGACCTATTAACAACAGGGAAATATGTATTGAATGGATGGGTAGAATACTTCAACCGGGCACTTAATATAGAAGAAGAAGCAGAAAACCTGAAAGGCGAAAGAGATGAGGTAACATGAACAGACGAGAGGGAAGAGGAACCACCAACGATTCTTGAAGTTAAAATGCAGTTAAAAAACAAGCCAGAAACAAATCACCCGAAATAACCATATAAAGAAGGTGGCCACAATAACATATGGTTAGGTACTACACTGCGCTAATTGTTGTTAGATATATTAAATAAAGCTTACTTGGTTCTTCAAAGATATCTAATACCCCTTGCAAAACATCGTAACACTGTCTTACGTACAAAGCTTCTCTTACAAACATCTTAGCTTTCAATCTGGTCTGAACGAAAGTATGAAGGTCGTCATAACATCTGTTAAAATGATTTCTGATAGAATCAGCTTCTTGCGGCTGTCTCGTTTTCAACCAAGCCTCTAAGATCGGTGACCAAGGCAGAACCGAAGAACTCATGAACACCATACCCATTCGAGATACAGTGGCTGGGCTTGCATTATCTACATTATCTGGTTCGAATACCAATTTGCAGTTATTTGCCATCACTATTCTGTCGCCATTGGCTAGAGTTAGAGTTTTGTTATCGTCTAAAACGGAGTTTAGGTTTTCTATCCATACTGCATCTACAGGGCCATCCAAAATTAACCTAAACATGGGATAAAAAGTAAATTAATATGTATTTTATTAAATATACATATTTTCAGAAATCAAGTCTTAAAATAAAACAGTGAAAACAAAAAGAGAAATCATACGATTTCTACCTGGCGATATCGAATTCAAATATAAGCCGCCGTGCTCCCTAAAACTTGCGAAGCAAACAGCTTGATGAATGAATCAGCAACGGAGTCTAAAAATTGCACTCCAAATGCCGTTCATCATGGCCTATATTCGTAGTGAATTCGATTTCTGGTACTCCAAATGAAGTAAATAAACAAAACAAAATGACGGTATTAGATTTTGATTTGATACAGAGCAGCAACAAGCCGCATATACGTATTTCGATCTCTTTAGATCTCCTCACTCTACTCCATGGAGTAGTAGCTATACCGTACTGAGGAGATCTAAAGAGATCGAAATACGTATATGCGGCTTGTTGCTGCTCTGTATCAAATCAAAATCTAATACCGTCATTTTGTTTTGTAAAACAGTAAAACTTTTGTTTTCTACACTCTCACATATTTATTACAATTTAGTTTCACTACAGCTGTTTCGGTAGAGTGCCATTCTCGAGTGATATATTTTAACTGTACGTCTACACTTTATAGGCTTTAACTGTTAGGAAGGCTGTAAGTTAGGGAGGGGAGAGTTGCTTGTGCAAGTTAGTCATTCAGTATCATATCTGTGTTTTTTAATTTATTAATTTTTATACATTATAATACAGACACCTTAATGCCTTTATTTTGAATACGGAGAATTAAAATTTGGTCAATAAAAGAATGATTATCATATAGAAGGTAGAATGCCTATGTAAAATCTATTTGTTCATTATTAAAAGTCCTTTTCTGTTCTGTTATGCGTTTGATAAAGGTTCTAGTAGTTTGACGGATGTAAGTTTTTGAGCAGACACCTTTTTTAAGTTTGCATAAACGTATGTGCTTTTTCTTTGGATTCTTGATGTTCTTAATATACCTGCTTAAGTTAAAATCTCGAGTTAAAAAATAACGTTAACATTCAATCTCCGTATTGGAATGAATGAATTCTCCGTGAACAAAATATTGAATGAAAAACATACCACAAGAAAATAATTTTAGAACCACTCCTAGTCAATAGTGGATTTTAAATAATAACTACTTTACCAACAATAGTCTGTTTTCTTAAATTTAAGAGTTCTTCTCCATAAAGTTGAAAAGATTCCATCCGTCCAGTCGTTCGTGGCAACATCCAATCTTCCAAACATTTGGGGAGCCGTGATTGCCTGACAGACAATAAAAAATTTAAACAGAAATTAAATATTTATCGAAACAATTGTGAGATTAGTAGTATGTTTAGTTTATATTTCACTTAAAAATGAAATATTTGAACTTACTTTAGGATTCATTCGAAGTTCTCTATGAGGCATACCCATTTCTGTCATAGACTTCATTAACGTTAACATGCATTTAGTTTTTCCAGCACCTGTAGGACCTATAAAGAACTTAATAAATTATAAACTATTTATTATTGTTTAGTGAACCTCGAAATGACGGGAATGTAAGAAAGTGTTATTAAAAATGTACGCTAGATTCGTTGATGAGGATGTTCAGAATATTGAACAGAGTAGGGAAAAAAGTAAGCTATATTCTTCACTGTATACCTAGAGGTCACCGCAAGATAATGAACAAAATTGCATTAGAATCAGATCGACTTTATTCTAACTAATCTAAGATTTAGAAATTCTATTGTAAGCGTTAAACTTTTCCTGGAGCAGATGTCCCCTCAGATCATAACCTACTTGCCTTAAAAATGAAACTGAGGGTAATAAAGATAAAAAATCAAAAAGTTCTAAGGTGAATACTCAGTTACTCAAGATAAATGAAATCCGTGCTGAGGCTTTAACTCAATTCAAATTCAATTCAAAACAATCAAGAAATGAAGAAGCTAACATTAGAAATGAAAAATACTGAGAATGTAAACATTATGTGGAGCCAAATCAAAGATTCTGTTATAAAAACACGGAAAGAAACTCTACAAAAGAAAAATGTTGTATTCGCGCCATGATACAAATATCTCATATAAGAGACGGTTTACAAACAAAAAAAAACAGTAATTATTCGTTCAGAGCTGACACATCACATTGAGTAGAAATCACTTTTTCTCGCGAAGTTTGCCGGCTCCTCCAAACTACATACCAACCTCTGTCCACACTCTTTACCTTTTTTAACCTAAAAACTTGAATTCATCCGACCTCGATCCTACCGGCCGGCATCTCCCGTCCCTTACCCCGCGTATCAATCCATGCCAAACATGCTTCTCATCTATCGTAAAATAACCTTGAAACATTTCCAGTTTAAAATCTCAAATCTAACGCATACAAATAAATAAAACCATATTTAAAGTCGCAATTACGACTTGAATTTGGAATTATTTTCTTTACCTCATAATGTAAACAGAGAATTGGGGAACATTTAGAAAATTTTATACTAAGGAATTTATTATGCTACAGATTCTGCAAAACTAAGGCTATTTTACCTATCTACTAGGACCAAAGTATGTTAACATCACCTCACTTATAAAAGATAAAACAAATTTTAGAAATGTTCAAGAAATATAATATCTACTGATTTATTTCACCTCACATTTCTTCTCAAACTACAATTTCTTTTTATTTTTTCAGTCTGTATTTATTTTATACGAATGTATAATTATAAGTAGTCTATATTTTTTGTCAGATAATTGCTGTGTTATAAAAACCGCGTGTTAGTTAATAATTCTTACCCATAACCATTAGCCCATGTCGTACCAAAGAGGTTTCATATAATTGCACCACCTTAAGATTCCAGGAAGGATAATTTACAAAACCAAGCTCTTGGCATATATGCGTGATAGCTTTTTGCAGATCCTTCCAAGCCTTTGTAGTCAATTTAATACCCGGGAACATATCTTCTATCAGGGAAAGGAAAAGAGGTTCATCTTCGTCAATAAGTTTGCTTAGGTTCATATCTCTACAAAAATATAAAATGGTAACTATATTACCAAAATTATGACTCATAGTTACCTTAAAACTCTCATTACTACAACTTCTTCAGTTTCATTTGGATTTGCTCGTTTTTGTGCGCCAAGTGTTCTCAATACTGATAAAATATTTCGAAGACCAAAATCATAATGCACCTGTAGTTAAAAAATATTAGTGATTATTTTGTGTTATATTAGTAAGTATGAAATATTCAAAATGGCCTGAGGTTTTTTTTTCGGAAGCTGTGTGCTGTTACAACCGGTCGTACTGTAGCCAACTAAGTTATTGTGCATCTATAAACTTCTAGTTTAAGTTTTTATTACTTACTTTTTAACACCTACTTACGGAGCCGTTCTGAAAAATTGTTCCGTATAATAAATACCATGTTTCAGATAGCCTTGGACACCGAACAACAACCTGAAGAATGGTCGACAGTCCATATTATCTCTATTTTCAAGAAAAGGGATCGAAGAAATGTGAAAATTACAGAATCCTAAGTATTTTACCATCTATAGGAAGAATATATGGAAAAATAATAAAGGAAAAAATAGAAAAACAAATTCAAAATAAAATAGAGGACGACCAGGCAGGTTTTACACCTGGGAAATCATGTGTTGATCACATCTACACTATACAAAAGCTAATAGAGAAGATGACAAAGAACAGACCAGTCCATCTAGCCTTTATTGACCTCAAAAAGGCATACGACTCTGTGTCCAGACAACGACTGTGGGAAGCAATGCAACAAATAGGAGTAGACGATAAGCTGATCTATGTAGTGAAGTCCATGTACACACATAATAATGTTATAGTCAAGGTAGGTATCAAGTTTGGAAAACCATTTAAAACCACGAAAGGTCTCCTACAGGGCTGCTTGACTTCACCTACACTTTTTAAAATATGTCTTCAATATGGAAGCCATGAAAAAGCCATTCTTCAAGCCATGGAAAAGGAAATGCGGGGGAATGGGAGTACCCATAAGGAAAGACCATCTGTATACCCTCAGTTTCGCCAACGATCAGGTCATAATAGCACAAGACGAGGAAGATCTAAGTTATATGGTTCAAAAACTAGAAGAAGAATATAATATAAATGCTCTGGAAATAAACATTAACAGAACAGAATATCTGAACACAACACAAGAACCAACAAGAGACCTGGAAATGGATGACGGGCGTGAAATAAAGGGGACTGATAAATTTAAATACCTACCTGGTGTTTATTATATCAAATAAAGGTACTACAGAAAAAGAAATTAAAAATCGAGTGGGTCAAACCAGAAACTCTATAAGACAGCTGAATCCAATCCGATGGGACAGACACATAACAAAAAATAACAAAAGCAGCATTCTTATATATGGAGCAGAAAATTGGGTTTTAAACAAAAGCAGCAGAAACAAAATAAACGCCACAGAAATAGACTACTGGAGAAGAAGCTGCAGAGTTTCCAGAATGGACAAAATAACTAACGACGAAATCAAAAGACGAATGGAAATAAAGAAAGACACCTTAAATTACATTGAAGAAAAAAGATTAACGTGGTACGGACATGTCAAACGAACAGACCCAAACCGATGGATAGCAAAAATAACAGAGTGAAGCCCTATAGGAAAACGCAAAAGAGGCAGACCAAAAAGATCTTTCAGAGATGAGGTAGATGAAGCCATGGAAAGAAGAGAATTGAAAGACGAAAAATGGGAGGACAAAGAAGAATGGAGAAAACCGTTGAGAGAAGGGAGACATCGACAGCTGTAGGAACCCCTTTCATATATTTAGTAATATTTTAAATTGACCTATATTGTAAAACAAATCCTGAAAATAAAATCTTATATGGATCTCCGTAAATTGTTAACCATACTATTAAATTATTCACCTGTTTAGATAGTTGTTCTTCACATAACTGATATAACGTAAAGAATTTCTTAGACAAGTGAACATTTTCTTTGAAACCGCAAGACGCTAGTTTCACTCTGATGATGATCTGTCTATCAGGAACCATCATAGCAACACTTCGGAACATAATTTTTAGATTTTCTGGCAACTCTTGTCGTCCTGCATACCCAGGATTCATCGTAAGGAAAATACCAAACTCTATATTCATACTAACGTTGTCTCCATCCCTAAAATATACAAAATTAATAAAAAGTGCTATTATTTATTAAAAAAAATATTACATAAAAATAAACGATGGCTTGCGTGCTCTTCTTGCTTCTAAAACTATGTAGATCTGTTGAGCGGCTACTGATAATACTGGTAGCTCAATCCTATTGAATTCGTCAAAGCATCCCCAGGTTCCTGATTGAGCAAGCCCCTAAAACAGTTTCGATGGGTTAGAAATCGTCGACTAATTATTTATATAATTGAATTGGTATAAATTGGCGTTTGTTGAAAAAACGACAAATATTGAAACCATCTTGGGAGATGAATTGGATATTAAAAACTTTAGAATTGGAAATAAATAAGTCACCAGCAAGAACCCTACGAACTCATAAACTTTAATAGTGGCCTTAAAATCTGAAGGAAATTTTCAATGTATGGGCAGTTTTGTTATTCTTTAATATTTTCTAATCACTAATATTAATAGGAAAATTTCTTTGTAGTAAGGCTAAAAAATGAAAAATAAATTCTTCAGTTAGTTTACCTTGAAAATTCTTCCAAGTCCTCTGAAATCCATTTGGTCAGAGCAGTTGAATACCACTACAAATTTTCCCAGAGTTCTTCCCATATCCTTGACTGTTTCTGTCTTGCCTGTTCCAGCAGGACCAGCTGGAGCTCCGCCCATATTAATCCCTATTAAAATTATTATAAAATTTATATATGTATAATGTTTGATGACAACATAAGGGATTTAATCAAGGATAAATATGCGTAGAATAGAAAAAGGAAGAAAGAATTTTAAAATATAAAATGGGAGAAAGATGATAAGAATAAAAGATGAGAGAAAAAAGGGAAAGAAGGACCTAAATGGTCTCTACTTAAGTTTAAAAGATGAAAACTTACAAATAGCTTGAGCCAAAGTAATGTAACATCTGTCAGTTAGAGGAGTGATCGCCAGCCTCTCTGTTATTCCTAAATATTCATTTTGGTATAAAAAGATGACATCTGTTATTTTTACAGTGATATCATCTGTTTCTTCATTATAGTAGAATCTCGTCTGGGCTTGCCATTCAAAATCCAATAAAGATTTTACTTTTAACTTATAAATGTTGTCGAAAATATCTCTACAAATAATATAATTTAGTAATAACCTTTAAACAATTTAAATACATTATAAAATGATAAAATGAAAATAAATATGTTCCATTATGACATATGTCATTAGATATATTACTGAATAAAAAGTACCTATCCAGCAATAATTACGTCATCAAAAGTTGTTGTGTATGTTGCTATTTTTGTAGAATTAATCCAAATATACATTTCTTTTAAAATAATACTGGATAGCAAGCCCAAACTGTCCCGCGGGTGGGCATTGGTTAGCTTGTACCCATTAAAAATTTTGCACCGCAAATTTGTTCGAACCTTTACCCAAAGATGATGCAGCTCACATGGGCTTCCTTTGGTAGATTGAATAACATTTTCAAGTCTAGTATCCCAGTTTGTTTAAAAAGAAAGGTTTTTAACTCTGACTGTAACACTGACTCTGACAAAAAGAACAATAGATAAAATAAGAATTACACAACGCGCTATGGAAAGATCAATATCAGGTATTACCATCAGAGATGGTATAAAGTACCAAACCTAGAAATAAGAAGAAGAACAGGAGTCACAGATGCAGTTGAAAAAATAGCCATGGCTAAATGGGCTTGGGCATTTTGCCAGATTAACGGATGATAGATGGACCAGAAAGATTCTGCAATGGCGACCAAAGCAAGATACATATCGAAGCAGAGGACGACCACCGACTAGATGGACGGATGATATCAAACGCATCACCACAAACTGGATGCAATAAGCTCAAAATAGAAATAGGTGAAAAAGTTTACGGGAGGCCTACGTTTAGCAGTGGAAAAATATAGGCTAATTGATGAAGATGATGATGATGATGATGATGCAGCTACCGTTGCTCTTAAAAAAAATTTAACTTGCTCCTAATTTCGTCGTTAAATTGATTCGTTGCTGTTGATGTTTTTGCAAATTACAACTTTTATCAGATCCTGTCAAATAATCAAAGGCTAACTGGGAAGTAGCTCGAAAATGGCCCCCTGGAAGATCATTTTTACAATTCGGGCGCCGTTATTATCGTTATTTCTATATTCTGTCTTAATATAAGAGTGTTGTAAGACCAATAATGTGTCTTAGAAACAAGACCCGACAGCAACACAAAGTTTACTGGAAACGGCAGAAATGAGAGCAGATGGGAAGAATTACAGGAAATACACTTAGAGATCGAAAGAGAAGTGAAGACATTAGAAGAAAATGTAACGTAAAGTTTATAAACGAATGGACTTAATAGAAAATAGGGATGAAATAAACACATAAGCAGAATAGGGGAGACCTGCGGCGTTAAAATAGCACAAGAGCCACGGGGTTGTATAGAATTATTTTGTTCCTTTGGAAATGAGTCTGGGGAAGGTAAAGGTTTTTTGGGATACAGATGTTTCTAATAAATGAATCCCCACGTTGGGCGCCAAAATTGTGTTACACAACAAACGATGGAGAATGTTTGAGGTCCTCAACATGTTGTCGCCATACTTAGAATCCGTAAAAATATGAGGGTGGTTCTCTGTATCGGTACAATGTGTAACAGTTTTTGTCGATGTATTTTTCTATTGTCTGTTTAAAAGTGCACCACAAATAAAGCATTACAAATATTCAGATTATTTTTTTTGTTAAGAATCATACTATATATAAATCGGTTTAGAACGTCTTTCGACGTTGTCCGATACCTAAACACCATCTCTTCCTATCTTCGCATTCGTTTGTTGTTAAATTTCTTTCGCTCATTGACTTATTTACGCCGTGTTGCCATTCTAATCTGGGTCTTCCTCTTTTCCGTTGACCTATCGGTTGCCATTCTACTACTTTTTTGGGGAGTCTTGTTGCTGGCATCCGTTGAACATGCCCATACCACCTTAATTGTTTCTTCTCTATATCTTGAGTTATATTTCCTTCTATTCCCATACGTAGTTTTATTACATCATTTTTAATTCGGTCTCGTCTGGAAATACCTAAAGATCTTCTCATTGCATCCATCTCTACTGCTTCTATTCGCTTTTTGTTCTTTTCACTAATTCTCCATGTTTCAGCGCCATAAAGAAGAGTAGTTTTAATCACGGTCTCATATATATTAAATTTTCTTCCTTTTGTTATCTCTTTACTCCACAGTATACCATTGAGACATCCTAAGACTTTCTTTGCTTGAGTGATTCGTTTTTCTATTTCCCGTGTATCAGTTCCTGTATTGTCAAAGGCAACACCCAAGTAGTCATAGCTCTGACAGCAGGAAATATGTTGTTCGTTTTCGAGGTATGTTATCTGATCATAGATGAAGAATCATACTAATTATAAAAAATCAGGCATATGTGGATTATAAACGTTTACATCTAATTTATGGGATAAATTTATTGTAGTCATGTGAAAATATATTTTTGTATTTTTCATAGAATATAATTAATTATAACTAGTAAGAAAAAATAAAGAAAATACTAACCGTTGATGAACATGGATAGTAACCATGGTTTCAAATCTTATTCTTTGCATTTTTGTTAAATCTTTTGATGTAAGGTCGATGAGAGAATTTAACAGATCGAGAAATCTTTTATTTGTAATTTTCATGGCCATTCTATCTACTCTTGCTTTCTTAATAGCGATTTCAGATTCTTTTGTCCACAATATTTGTATACCAACTAGTCCAGCCTAAAAACACATTAAATGATATCTAATAATTTACTACCAATAATCAATCTTTAATATTGGATTATTACTCTATAGTTATAACATTAAAAACGGTTTGAAATGGGTTTGTGTTTTTATACTGAATAATAAGTAAAATATTTACTCAGTCAAAATACAAATTTAATACTATTAAATAGAAACTGTGAATTTAATAAAGGCTAACCTAGGAAAAGAGAGTTGATAAAAGCTTCTACAAACTGAAACAAATGGACAAAACAGGAAAACCCAAAAAAAATCAGGTAATTATCTTAGTTCTATCATCCCGATAGAACTATATAAAAACGGGCAAGGTTCATCAAAGATAAACGATTTGGTATAAATGATAGGCATAAAGTCGCCGCTGATAATGTAAAAAGAATGGCAACCAAAAAATATAAAAGTATAAAATGGGTTCCGAAAAAGAAGCTCAATCAGTTAAACTGTCCAGAAAGTTATATTTTTGGCCCTAGAAGCTAGAGAAGTGATATTAAAAAGTACATGTTGCGTACTTATAACAGTAGGTATGAAGAGAGCATTACATATGTAATAAACCTAACCTAATAACCTAATAAAAGCTACTTAAAGGATAGGTCTCATCTAGGACAGGTAATGGTTTTATTGCCTGAACAGGGATACTATAGGGGTCAGTAAAGGTCCAGTTCTATGCAACTTTTTATATCACCCTATGCTAAGGGTACGTCACCATGAAAAACTATACATAATAAGGTTTGCAGACGATTTTAGACTGATAATAATAGCCCGTGATAAGAAAAAGCTAATACTTATAGCAAATAAAACACTGTGAAAAACAACTCACTGACAACAGCAAAATATTCTGAGGCTGGCACTTAAAAAGATGGATTCTTTTAGATAAAATAGTTGAAAAGAAAAGACATAGTTTTTGAAATAGAGCAGTCTACTGAAGCCAAAAATTCTCTGTAACGTAACTAAAGATTGAAATAAATAGCAATTTTTAATTTGGGTATCATTTAAGCAGCGTAGCTCTTGATACTAAATACATAAATATATTATTCTCATCTCTACCAGAGATATCGCCCTTATTGACCATTTCTCCTGGGTTGTTGATATCGTATGTGTCAACTATATACGCTACCTTATGCCTTGTTAGGCACAATATAAATTATTTATGTTACCTGTCCACAAAAATGAACGAATCCAGATATGAAATCGTACTCCGGATCATTAAAACACTGAGCCTGCGTGGCACAGACATTTTTGACGGTA